GCTGGATTCACCAGATGAAATGCGTTTCCATATTCGAGCTGAAAGTACACCTCGAAGTCTCCTTCTTCCCTCTTTCCCCTTCTTCTTTCCCCCCATCCCATCATTGGGCAATTTCCCGGCAATTTTCCTACAAAATTTCTCCCGAAATGAGTTCGCCTCATTCTTGAAAATTACCCCATTCAATTATGAAAGTTGGCCAATTTTCTGGGTGCCTCAAATTACTCTTGGGGAATTCATCAAAGTGTTACAGTATTTGAAAAAGGTTAGCTTTGTTTTTAGATATGAATAGAATGGCTGTTAGTTGAGAGAAGCTATTCAACTGTGGCAAAAACATCAGAATCATAAGCATTCTTAAATTCATAAGTATAAAGTAGCTTATTATCTCCTTCTTGTTTTCTTCTTCCTCTCTTCTTCCCTTCTTCCCTTCTTCTTGCTTTCTTCTTCCTCTTTGTCGTTCCCTCTTTATCTTGGCAAGTTAAGCTACCGGATAGCTCAGTGGTTAGAGCAATTTAGACTAGCTCTAGCAAGCAAGCTCTAGCAAGCAAGCTCTAGCAAGCAAGCTCTAGCAAGCAAGCTCTAGCAAGCAAGCTCTAGCAAGCAAGCTCTAGCAAGCAAGCTCTAGCAAGCAAGCTCTAGCAAGCAAGCTCTAGCAAGCAAAAGGTCGAGATTTCAATCCCCCTCTTTTTTTCGGCCATGGAACACGTTGCAGACTCCAGTGTAGCACGTGTGCAGCCCCGAACATCTAAGGGTCTCACAGACCTGTTATTGCGCACTTTCGTGCAGCTCGATACTGCCAATTCCTCTAAGAACACCTGCGAACGAAATTATTCGCAGTGTATTAAGTAGGGGTGTCTAAATTGCTCTAACCACAATCGTGTTCAAAAAAATCTACCTTTTTTTGCCAATTCTTTCATTTCTTTATTATAGTTAGCAGTTTATTCAAAACTGTCCGACAAGTTGCTGCTAGAAATCACCAGAAACCCCAAAAATCTAACTGTACTTTTAACTTAAATCCTACTTCACTGAAATCTTACTATTTTCCTGTACTATAAGGATACTGTACTTTTAGATTTCATAGTTTTTATCTAAATTGAATATCATCTCTTGTCTTTGTCCGTCACTTTACTGTCTCTCACTGATTATGGTATTTTTAAGGGTTTAAAGTTTTTCAGTGTAGCCTTGGAAAAACCCAGGACTTTCCTTTCATCTGTTCCCGAAATTTCCTATCTACTCCAGAATATCTATCTACTCCATCAGTTCTGAATAATTAAAAGCATTTTTTTAAAGGTTATTCGCTCTACAAATGTAGTGCAATCATGGGCTTTTCGTCAAATCTTTCGTTTCTCAGAAAATTGTCGAAAAAATGGTCACAGTAGGAAGTGTGTAGGTGTTTAAAAGGGATAATTTTCTCAAAAGCGTTTAAAAAAGATAATTTTCTCAAAACGACACGTCACTTAAACAATTTTATTTGAAAAAAACTGTTTAGAGCTTAGAGATTTTCTACCTGATGACTATAATTTATGTAAAGAATCTAAACTTTTATTGCAAAGTTCTTTCAGTTCTATCAGGGTCAAATATTCATTCTAAAGCTTTAACAAGGGCCTTAAAGGTGCTATAAAGCTTTAAGAAGGGCCTTAAAGGTGCTATAAAGCTTTAACAAGGGCCTTAAAGGTGCTATAAAGCTTTAAGAAGGGCCTTAAAGGTGCTATAAAGCTTTAAGAAGGGCCTTAAAGGTGCTATAAAGTCTGTGACTTGGATCGAACTATTTCTCTTTGAAACATTAGCCAAATCTGCTAACCACTTGGCCAAAAACAGAATGCAAAATGGGCAAAATGCCAAAATGCTTACTCCAAACGGCTTTTAAATGCAAATGCAGGATTTCGAGACTTTACAGATACCTTTAAGTACCTGTAAAGTCTTTTAAGTACCTTTAAGTACTTTAAACAGGCTTATTGAACCCGGAAAAGCAAGTCCAGAAAGCTGCGCAAGTTCAATCTAAAGCCCAATCCTAACTAACTCATTTATCACCTTTTTCATTGCGTTTCAAGCCAAATTCTTGTCATTCTTGTCATTCTTATCATAGAATCTTTGAAATTGTTGAATTAGATTCAGATATCCATCTGTTAGATCCAGATATCCAGGTAGATAGCGATGATCTAATCATTTCCAAAAAAGCGATGGGGTCAAGAATGTCTTCGAATGAAATCTGCCGCTGGCAATCGAGATCCAATCAAGTGCCCCGTGTCGATTTCACTCATTGCCGTGAAGAAAACACAGCTGGCCCCATCCTCTGCGTTTATGGGCAATCAAGGAAAGGTTACAGTAAAAGATATCTGGAATTTTTTTTGGGAAACTGCTAAGGTGCTGGCTGAAATATAAGCTGATAGGCTGATTATTTTTATATAGGCTGATTAACTTTATTATTTAAAGTTTCCAAACACTTTGAAACACTTAAAAATGGCCTTAAAAACAAAAAAGGAAAACTTTGACGGTGAGGAAATTCGAACCAGGGCCGAGCCTAACGCCGAGCGCACGCCAACTATCCACTACACCACCGCGTCGCAGTGTTTGGTGGCAGCAAGAAGACCTATATTAGCTCTGGAAATGCGACCTTTGCTTCTTTTCTAGATAACTCGAGATACAGGGCTCCAATCGTGAAATTAAAATCAGATTTGGAATCAGCGCTTAAAACTCTATTAGATAAGCTAGCATCGAGCTAGGACCGATTCAAATAGGATCTTAAATCGGCGCCATTCCTTGAAAATCTTTCCAGGCTAGTCCACAATTATAGCGCCGGACTTCAGAAGGCTTAGATCGGCTAAAATTGAGTCAATCGTTCTGATTTTTCTGGAGATAAATCTTTAAAATATCTCCTAGAACTGTGTCCATTATCTAATCGATTCAAGCTTTCAACTTTTTGATATAGCCTTCAAAAGTTGAGAGCTGGGTGGCTGGCTTGAGTTGAGAGCTGAGTGTCGCTCGGCTTGAGTTGAGAGCCGAGTATCTCCTCATTTATTGAATTTTTGAGAGCAATCTTATCCAAATCTTGTTGAGATTGAATGTTTTATGTTAATAAACAAAATTGCGGACAGGTTAAGTGCAAAAATTCTTGAGTAATGCCACTAAAACTTTGCTTAATATAGTCTATTTTCACTTGAACGATTTATCGTGCATTCAGAACAAGAAAATCTAAAATCAAAGCCATTAAAGACCCAAAAAAATCTCTTTTCAACGTCTATTGCTTTTTAATTTCAAAAATAAATCTGATTTATTGGGAAATTCTTCAAATCTATGGATAAATCCGGTTTTCTAAGGTTTTCTAAGGTTTTCTAACTCGTTTTATTCACAGATTTCACCCACTGATTCTTTTATTGTAAAGAAAAATCTCTAATTTCTATGCAGTTCTTCATTTTATCGAGTAGCTTCGAGTTTTATGACTTGAGTAAAGATTTGAGTGCCTTCAGAAGCTCTGTGTTCCCATTTTTCTGCACAAAAAACCGAGAGATACACTTTTTCGTGAACAATTCTTCAGTCCAGTGTTCATTTTAAGAAACTCTATTCAAAAATGTTCAAAAACTGTTCAAAAACTGTTCAAAAACTGTTCAAAAATCTTCAAGGAACTCTTCCCCTTCCCTACCGCATTACCCATAATTGCTAAACGTATAAATTGAGCGCTTTTTCAAAGCTACCGTATCTTCCGTCGCGTTGAAATCAAATCTCTTTTCGTCTTTTCTATTTGCGATGCAATTAAGGCTTGGGGGATGGGCGGTGATTGCTCGAATAGAAAAAAGAAAAAGAGGATGACTCCTGGAAATGAGAGCATTCATCCTATTTCTCAATTTCCTCCTCTATTTCATCTATTTTCTTTATTAATTGTATTTTCTCGTTTTTTTTTCTTTGGGGGAAGCCCCGCCCAACAATCATTTCATCCTACGGTAATCGCTGGGGATAATGAGTGTGATGAGAGGACAAGTTTAGAGTCAAGTTCCGCATCTTCTGCTTACCTATTTACCGTATTTGACTTTGCAAATGGATCTAAGACTTTAGTAGCTACAAGCACAGCTACAGCTATTAGCTAATAGCTAATAGTTACATAGCTAATAGCTACATAGCTAATAGCTACCCTACTGGACAATGAAATATCATACTTGAAAAAAGATCGTCACTTTCGCACCTCTGGAACCCCCTTGCCTTTACCGTATTTCTAAATATTAATATTACCATTGTGTAGCCCTTGAAAAGAGCTTTCAGAAAATGTATAACACTAATAGTTTAAACTCAAAGACAAGGGAGTTACAGACGCGCGAAAGTGACGATCGTTTTTCAAATATCATATTTCATTGTCCAGTACTGTACATAGCTAATAGCTACAATAGCTAATAGCTACATAGCTACAATAGCTTTAATAGCAGTTAAAGACTACTAAAAGTGATCTTTTTTCCCTAATAAATCGGCTTTTTTTCCTAAAAAGAAGATTTTCTAAAAAGAAGATCACTAAAAATGCGATTTTTTCACTAAAAATGATTTTTCTTGTCATAAAACCATTCAGAATCTCTAAATCTTTTCATTTTTTGAATCTTTTACAAGTTTTTCAGTAAGATTTTCTATTTAGATTTGAATTTTTAAAATTTTAAACCTATTGGCTTTGTTTTCTTTGTTTCTAGATTGCCCTAAACATGAGAGTTTTGATTTAACACATTCTTGGCCATCAATCTGCTAGTTCACTAGAAAGTTGTACTTTTTTTGGATCAATTCTTTCCTTCATTCTTATTTAACGTTCACTGCTTCTTGAGCGTACACTGCTTCTTAACGTACCCTGCTTCTTGAGCATGAAATTGATATCAAAATTTCATATTAAATTAGAATTGACATCACTTTCTTAATGAATTTCATGAAAAACCTCGAATTCTTCCAGATGGTTGAAGGAAAACGTGGATCGACTTTCTCGGTGGCTTCTTTGCTTAAAAAAAGAGGAAAGCCCGCCAATTCCCCAATTCTTGATGGGGATTTCACCGATTTCTTCCCCAAACGCAGCCACTTCCATCATGTCAGCCTCACCTTTTGGCCTCAAATTTGCCACTCCTCCCTTTGATCCAACACTGTTTTTTTTGGCACAACAAAGGTGAATAAATGGATGTTAAAATAGAAAAGAATAAATCGTATCTGTTTTTCCAGACTTTCTATGCCATCCACCTCTGATTCCTCACCCGATTCCTCAGCCTCATCACCGCAATCAGTTCCCTCATTCTCGTGGATGATCGGCGGAGGATCGAGAAGGGATTCACCAAGTAAACACTTAAAAAATCACAGAAAAACAGAAAAATAACAGAAATACTTGATTCTATAACACAAAAAAGGCATAATCCCTAAGCATTCATGGGCCTAAGCATTCATGAGCCTAAGCATTCATGAGCAATAAGTAAAGTATTCATAAGTAAAAGATTGTTAAATTTTGTTTCATTCACTTTATAGATTAGTGTGTTAATTTTTTTGTTATCAATTGTCAAAAATTGTCAAAAATTGTCAAAAATTGCCAAAAATTGTCAAAAATTGTCATAAAGGATGTCAAAATACTTATTGTAAGTTAAAATAGAGCAAATAGAGCAAATTCAAGTGGTTAAGCATCAACGTAGAAATAAAAACAAGGAAAGGAGTCGAACTCAAGCAAAACTTGATAGCTTGTTTCGGAAACAAGACTCTTCTCCACTACACCATCTTCCCTGTTCTTTCTAACTTCAAGATTTACTTAAAAGGATTTAATTCAGCTCCCGATGAGACAAAACTGGCGATCGGGTTAAACAAGTGCATGTTGCGGAAGCACAAGAGCAATCGAAAGCCAAGGACTCCTTTTAGTACACAGGTTGATCAAAAAAATCGGCTAGAAATCGGCTAGAATCGGCTAGAAAGTCGTAAAATTCGATAAAGCATTTAGTTTTTTTCTTGATCTCTTAATTTCTTTAGCAACTTCTGACGTTGGAGCGAAAATTTCAACAAAAGCAGTACTTGTCGATCGCGGAACGAGCCGAATTCAGCGCATCATTGGGACTCTCGGAGACACAAGTGAAAATTTGGTTTCAGGTGAGCGAATTTTGCAGTGAAATCATTTTAAAACCAATATTCATTAACAAAAGTGAGCTAAGTAAGTAGCTAAGTAGCTAAGTAGCTAAGTAGCTGAGTAGCTAAGTAGCTAAGTAGCTAAGTAGCTAAGTAGCTAAGTAGGTAAGTAGTTAAGTAGTTAAGTAGTTAAGTAGCTAAGTAGCTAAGTAGTTAAGTAGCTAAGTAGTTAAGTAGTTAAGTAGCTAAGTAGCTAAGTAGTTAAGTAGCTAAGTAGCTAAGTAGCTAAGTAGGTAAGTAGTTAAGTAGCTAAGTAGTTAAGTAGCTAAGTATTGGGTTGGGGAGAATGAGTCGGCGCCGAAAATCAAAAAAATGTCTAAAACTTCTATTCGACTTCGTCAAATCTATGCGTTTGATATGAGTAGAATGGTTAACTAATTCTCTACAAAATGACATTTAAAAGAAAATTCAAACAGCGCCTCCGGTCAAGAAAAAGCCATTTTTTCACAAAAACTACAAACTGTCATCTAGAAAAAACCATTGGTGGGATCTTCCTGCAAATTTGGCAACTTAAGTAATCGAATGTGCTCTATCTTTTTTATATAAACACCAAAGAAGGTTCATGTGAAAGAAACTGTTCAAATGATGAGTCGGACCCTTTGCCATTTTAACCAGCTGCGTTTGGAAGTTCATAAACTCCACGAAAGAAAAGCTTTGTGGAATCTCTCAAAAGTCATTTTGTAGAGAAATAGTGGATCCTTTTGATGAAACCAAACGTATGTTTAAAGAAGGCTTTATGTGTGCAAAAAGTCCCTTTAAAGTTTGGCGCCGACTCATTCTCCCCAACCCAATAGTTAAGTAGCTAAGTAGCTAAATTTTGTTAAAGATACAGTTTCTAATGAATTTAAAGTCATCCTTATAATGTACAGGCTCCAGTTGATCCAGAAGACGGAAATCTAACTGAAACCAAGCCCAATTTTTGATTTAGCTTAGAAATTCTGGCACTAGATAATCAATTAATTAGGATTTTAAAACTGGATAATGTTTGTTCAATCAAAAAGAATCAAAAGAATCAAAAGAATACTTTGCTAAACTTGTCTAACAGGCTTTAAAAGTTGGTTTTGCCATTTGTATTTGCCATTTGTATCTGCCATTTGCCAAACTCTTGTAGCCAAACTCTGTAAACTCCATTTGCCAAACAAAATCGGCTAAATCGACCATCGGCTAATTCAAAGAGTTGATTTTATCTAAAAACCAATATCTAAAACTATCGTTCAATCTTAAAATAGACTCCAAAACAAGTCAAATCGCTCTTCTCAAGAGACAAAAGATATCAACCATATGGTGTGTTCTGGAGACTCCAAAGTGCTTCAAAATTTACCGCCAAAAGACGAAATCTATCCTTTTATGATCTCAAAAGTATTCAAGTACTTTCAAAGCAAATATTTTCTTTTTCTTTCTTTCTTTCTTTCTTTCTTTCTCAGCTCCAATATCTTAATTGGTAGCCTTGGGGTGAGATCGCGTGAAGATCTTTCTGAAGATCTTTCGCCGATGATCGTAAATAAATTTGACAGCTTAATAATCGGTTACGATCACATCCATTGTTACGGTACTTATCCAGTGATCGATATATGATTTGGGCGAGAGATATGCTTTGATATGCTCAAGGCAACAATGGATGTGATCGAGAATCGGGGGAAATTCGTTGACTTGCTACTGACTTACTGACTTAGATAGTTAGGGACTTAGATAGCTGACTCTACACTTGCTACTGACTGTGGATTCCTCGGGGCAAGCTGTCTTTTGCTCGTGTAAAACATGGAACTTACAATTAGTAGCAAAAATGACAAGTTGTTGAGAATCATAGTTGAAATATTCAAATTCTTGTTCATCTTTTGACTCTTTTGAGCGCAAGTGGCTACTGTATTCATCGAGTTCGATTGTTACTGTACTCTGCAAGTGGTTACTGTACTCTGCAAGTGGTTACTGTACTCTGGCAGCTGTACAAGTTCGATTGTTACTGTACTCTGGCAAGTGGTTACTGTACTGTCAGAGCATTGTCAGAGTTTGTGTATCTCAGTTTGTGTATAGAAAAAGTGTATCTCTCGGTTTTTTTGTGCTTAAGAAACGGGTTATTTTACTGCTTAAGAAATAGCTTTTTTTGCTTGTAAAACAGACAAGGACTAATTACAGTATGGGTTACTGTAATCTTGACAATCTTTAGTTCTATACAAAAATCGAGTTTTGGTGCTTAGCAGACATGTGCACTCCTCGATCCGGTCCTCGGTTCGGTTTTCAATCTCGGTTCGGTCCTCGGTCCGGACTGGACCGAGATCAGATCGAAAAATTGGGCTTCGATCCGGACCGGACCGAGATCGGACCGACTTATACAGACGGACTCATACAGACGGACTCATACAGACGGACTCATAGAGATGGACTCATACAGACGGACTCATACAGATGAACTCATACAGACGAACTCATACAGACGGACTCATACAGACGGGCTCATACAGATGAACTCATACAGACGAACTCATACAGACGGACTCAAACGGACCGACTTATACGGACCGACTCAAACGGAATGAATGCACATGTCTAGTGCCTAGACTTTTTCTAAAACTTACAATTTCGCCTGTGTTATCTTATAATCATCAGAAAGCCATTAGGTTTTCGTACTTTAAAGTGCTAAAGCCAATAAAATCATTAATTCAATAGCAAAAGCTATAGATCCATTATTTTAATAATTATAAAGTTAAGGAGATTTCCTATATTCTTTGGCTAAATCATTTCGTAAACCACTCAAAAACCCTTGACTTTTCCTGAAAGATCGATGAAAGAATTTGCTTTGTGCCAAAGAAAGGCAACAATTTTGGCAAGAGAAATTCAGAGAAATTTGAGTTTTTCCAATTTCTTTTTGGGGGTTTTTCTCTCTCGATTTCTCCTCGCCATGATTTCCCCGCAAAACCACAGCAGGTGGCCAACATTCCGTTGGGTTCATCCTCTCAATACTCACATCATTTCTAGTTTCCGTTTTTGGGTAATCCGATCAAGAAAAACTCAAGAAAATAGGATAAATAACGATAAATAACGATAAATTAATGGATTATGAAAGAGAGAACCGATTGGAGGAGGGAAATTTGGGAATTTTCGGGAAATTTTAGGGAAATGGATTGAAAAAGGAATAATAATGGCTAGTTTCTCGTGTTCTCTTGGTGTACTTTGTGGCTAGAAGTCTAAGCATAAACTTTCTGGTGCACTGGCAAGCCACCAAATAGCTCTTTTTGGCTAGAAATCTAAGCAGAAACTTTCTGGTGTACTTTGTGCCTAGAAATCTAAGCATAAACTTTCTGGTGCACTGGCAAGCCACCAAATAGCTCTTTGTGTAGCTAGGAGTACGCTAGAAAGGGTGTGTTTGCCTTGTTGTGCAAAAAGTACATCTTTTAAACCGCAACACTGACCCCAATACTGACCGCAACACTGCCGCCATGGTCGACTGGTTAGGAGTCTTGTTTTCTAGTCTGTTTTCTAGTCGGGAAGTTTCTAATCACGGGCTCGATCCCAGCGGCTGGAAAATCTGACTCTTTTTCAAAGGGGATTTCTCTGAAACTTCCTTCTTTCTCTGCAACTTTCTCTCCAACTTCTTTAAGGGTGTTAGGGCAGGAGGAATTGTGTATTTATTACTGTATTTGTGTCACATTACTGTAATTATTAATGTTGAATCAATGTCAATCAATTGAATCAATTGAACTTTTAAACAAATACAAACGATAAATCGCTCTAAGAAAAACGAAATTCCCAGTTCTCAATTCCCAGTTCTCAATTCTCAATTCTCAATTCTCAATTCCCAATTTCCTAAACCTAAATTGATCGACAAGAACTCCATTGGGCAATCCGACCACATATGTGAGTGCTAATAGACGGATTATTGCTTGGGACAATGGGAAAAGGACAATTGGAAAAGGGAAAAGGAAAAGAAAAGAGAATATTGGGATTCTCTTTGGTCTTTTTCAAGATTCCAAGTGGGAAATCAATTTATTGTTTCTCGCATAACCCATAAAACGCTCATTACTGTAATTTGGGTGGATCGTTAGGCGGAAAAGAGAACTGGAAAAGAGAATTGAATGGATGAATGAGGAGGAAAAGGCCCATCGAATCCCATCGAATCAACACACATGTTCTGAGCTTATGTTCTGAGCTTTGATTTGATTTCAACAAAGGTTGGGGACCTTTGTTAAAACGTTAACACATTATACAGCCCACCGGTGAGCCGCACCTAGATTTAGCACTTTTTTGAGGCCGATTAGACTGAAAATTTGCGCCAGAGGGTTTTCGGGGTCAAGGAATTCGAATCCGTTACTAGTTTTTCACGAAAACTGCTTGATTTTTGGATATTGCATCCAGTTTAATTACCCAGATGCGACTTTACATTCTGGACCGTGTGCCAGAAGGTGTACAATTACAAAAACGTGAAAATTTTCATGTTTACGATATCGTGCGGCTTCTGGCATAAGGCTAGAAGTAATAGAGGAAAAAACTAAGCCTTCGTTTCACTCTTTTTTCTCCAATTTAGTTTAATTATCCAAGTTTTTAGAGAGTTTTGTGCTGACTGTTGGCTCGGGCTCAGGCTCAGGCTGAGGCTCAGGCTGAGGCTCAGGCTCAGGCTCAGGTTGAGGCTCAGGCTCAGGCTCAGGCTCAGGCTCAGGCTGAGGCTCAGGCTCACACACTCAAAAACTAATAACAGATTCAGAATCTTCATCTCAGAATGCCTCTATTTACAAATTTTCAGCTCTACAGCTAGATAGCTGTCGTCTGAAAGCTCGTCTGTAGCTGTCTGAAACGGCAGCCAAGCCAAAAAAAAAGATTTTATCGTAAATGTGTTAAAATTCAAATTGTGTAAGCTTTCTACCAGTTTTCTTGTTTTAACGGAATGTCGAATTTGTAGCAAAAATACAACCAAGGCAAGGCAAAGATTGATTCTAGGGAATTATAAATTTATACCCAGAGGTTTTCGGGGTCGGAAAATTGATTGGAACCCGGACAGGACCCAACAGGACCCAACAGAACCCAACAGGACCCAACAGGACCCAACAGGACCCAACAGAACCCAACAGGACAGTGCACAGACCTTTTCATTTCGTTGAGTCTACCAATTGGACTTCCAAAACTCTTGAGCCTTAAGGAGAGAAAGAAGGAGAGAAAGAAGGAGAGAAAGAAGAGAGAGAAAGAAGGCAATAATCAAATTCTAAAGGACAATGAAAGCACAATAACTTTTACCTAAAAGCTTTTTTTAGAAAACAAGTCCTTCCCCTGGCTTCTCGCTCAGGAACTCAGAACCAAATAAGTAAATTTACAGTCTTTATTTGCTAAATCTATTCTTTTGAAGTTCAGCTCTCGTTCACTCTCTCAATTTCTCTCAATTCCCCGTTCAATCTCTCTCAATTGACCCAGTGAGTCCTTGCGCAACGCTCATAAATCTTCTAGCTATTGTTTTGGAATTTTGAAGAAATTTCGCGGACCATCACCCCTAAATAAACGGTGTTGACAGAAGAAAGAGACAAATCTCTTCGAATGAAAAGAAATGAAATGCTTTGTCAAAGCTGAGAACTGTCAAATGACTGTAGAATGGATGAAAGAGGGGAAAAAGAGCCCACATCTGCACGACAAATCACGTCAAGCGCTCATTCTTTTCCCCCAACTCTTTTCAGCCATTCAGCCACTGTGAAAACTGTGTAAGATCTATGACTTTGCGCATTACCGTACGATTATTCCAGTGCTAAGATACGATAGTTCAATCTTTTAGCGATAGCAATAAAAGATCGATAGCAATAAAAGGTCAATCTTTTCTCTGAAATCGTCTGAGAGATTTTAGAAGCTACAAGTTTTTGGATAATTTATCTAGAGGTATCTAGAGGTATCTAGAGGTATCTAGAGGTATCTAGAGGTATCTAGAGGTATCTAGAGGTATCTAGAGGTATCTAGAGGTATCTAGAGGTATCTAGAGGTATCTAGAGGTATCTAGAGGTATCTAGAGGTATCTAGAGGTATCTAGAGGTATCTAGAGGTATCTAGAGGTATCTAGAGGTATCTAGAGGTATCTAGAGGTATCTAGAGGTATCTAGGAGGTATCTAGAGGTATCTAGAGGTATCTAGAGGTATCTAGAGGTATCTAGAGGTATCTAGAGGTATCTAGAGGTATCTAGAGGTATCTAGAGGTATCTAGAGGTATCTAGAGGTATCTAGAGGTATCTAGAGGTATCTAGAGGTATCTAGAGGTATCTAGAGGTATCTAGAGGTATCTAGAGGTATCTAGAGGTATCTAGAGGTATAGGTTTACAGGTTTTGTATAGAAATATCTAAAAGCAAACTATCGTAAGTTCTGTAAAGAGTTATCTAAACGTTTTGTATAGAAATATAAAAATAAGTTGTGAAACCGGACAATGTAAATGTTTTACAGATCTTACCTTTAACAGTTGCCCTCAAGTCAACTGTCAACACTCTAATCCCCTACTAGATCTCATCGTCAGCTACATTTTCCGACCCCACATCGATAGGTTCTGAAGCGATAGGTTCTGATAAGCGGTTCTCGAGATTTCGAGCAATTTAGGCAGCGAAATCAATGCACTAGAGAGAATTCGGTATAGGAGAAACAAAGAATGTTATTGTATCAAAATTCTCAGACAAAAATCATTTTTCCAGAACCGTCGAGCCAAATCAAAGCGTCTACAAGAGGCTGAGGTAGAGAAAGTGAAATTCGCACAGGCATCGGCTCTGGCGGCAGCTGCTGTAGCGCAAGGAGAGAAAGGATTTCTTTTTGGCTACGCTCCTCAATGGTGAACAAGAAATTGGGGATACTGTAGGGCAAGTAGAGCCCGTTTTTCTAGATTAATGTTTTAAGAATGTTGATGTTAAAAGTTGACTATTTGATTCGTGTGTTCTCTTGGTTGTGAATTGCGTTGTTCTCTTGGTTCTCTTTGTGTATTGCCATCATTTCTTTGTTTATTATCAGCCATATCAATCGATTAACTCAAGGATTTATCATTATTATTTATTATTTACTCTCCCAAACATTCCATAAAGCTTTTCCCTGATCGACTGATCGATTGACGGTGCTCTTTGTTCTCAAGAATGGAAAAAGCATTCTTTTGTAGTGCACTGAATTCTTTCTAGATCTTTATATAGCTGTAAAAGAACGAATTCAATGCACTGAATTCTTTCTAGATCTTCATATAGCTGTAAAAGAACGAATTCAATGCACTGAATTCTTTCTAGATCTTCATATAGCTGTAAGAGAACGAATTCTATGCACTAGAAAGGTGAATTTTCAAATTTCGAGTACAAAATCCACACAGTTAAAAGTTAAAACAGTTAAAAGTATCTTCAAAAAGTTCAAAAAGTTCAAATCTTGCTTAAATCTTTGCTTTTTACTACTTTAAAAGTCTAAAACTTCAATTTAATCGATCTTTTTTCAATTCAATTCAATTCAATTAATCCCAATCGTTAAGAAAACAAAGCAAATGACGCAGAAAAACGAAAATCGTTTGAAATTTTCCCCTTTTCACCCCAAATTGACTGCTGAACGCTTGCTCGAACGGTAAATTTACGATCCAAGTCGGTAAAAGAAAAATCTTTTACATAAAAAAAGCTCTTTTACATAAAAAAAAGCGATGATTTCAAACTAAAATTGCTTCTTTAGATAAAAAGTGATGATAAATTCCCGAAAAGATTCGTTTTATTAGGATTTTATCGTTCCAAGCAACCATGTAGGGAATTTCGTGTGTGTGTGTTTTTTTTTTGCGCTTTTATCACCTCATTGCTTCGTTCTTGTGAACAGAAAACTTTTCACAATGGGGATCTCAAAAGGTTTTTGTTTTTAAAATTGTTTTTAAAATTGTTTTTAAAATTGTTTTTAAAATTGTTTTATAAAATTGTTTTATAAAATTGTTTTTAAAATTGTTTTTATAAAATTCTCTCCTTGCCTTTTTCTTCTAAACATATCTAGTCCAAAAACGATGATTCATTCAACGTTTTGTGTGGCAATTTTCTTCCATCTTGCATTTTTCTTCTTTTTCTTGTGAATTGAATAAATATTTTGAAGAGAAACATTGGAATTTTCAAGGAATTACATGAACAAAACGTTTGCACAAATAGAAAGTCAAACAAAAAGACTTGCTTTTTTTGAACTAAAAACTTTACAGCATCGTCGCTTTGTCATTGATTTAGTCGAAACTTTCAAAATCCTCCGTTGTAAACAGATTAGCCCTTTGTTTATAGACTTTTTCAAATTTAAACCGCGGTCAAGGCCCAGAAGTGGCTCATTCCTTTTGCAAATTCCCTTTGCTTCCAATGCCTCTTTATCAAATTCATTTCCCGTTAGAGCCGCTAGATTATGGAACTTGCTCCCAAACGACATACGAGAAATTCAGTCGCTTTTCATATTCAAGAAACGTATCGATGCTTTAGATCTAGTGGCTCTTTGCCGTAAGTAATTGGCTTATTGATTTCAGTATGTATTGTATGATTAAGTATCACTGTGCATTTCTCTATGATTTCTTTCACTTTATCGTTTGAATAAAGTATTATTATAAAAAGCTTTTACGAAATTGAAATTAATTAAAAAGTACAAATTGAGCTTTATTTACCTTTGTTGGACAAAGTTTCATTCAGACTCTGTTCAATAATGAGAATGGGAACCAAATGTACTATTTTAACATGTACAAATGGAACCAAATGTACTATTCTAACACAAAATCGTTTATTTGTGTCAAACTAGTTGAATTCCAAGTAGTTTTGATTATGGATTAATAAAGTTTGTTACTTATCCTAGTATTAATCATAATTGCAGGCTACAATAGTTTGTTACTTATCGTAGCATTATGAGTAACAAACTACAGTACTTGCTCCTGCAGCAGACGATATAAATGGAATCAATCAATGAAATGGAAATGGAATTTTTGACGTAAATTGCAAAGAAATTGGCTGGCTCTGGCGGAAATTGGCTGACAAGGGGATTTGGACGAATTCGAACCAGGGTGATTTGGACGATGCTTTGCTTTGGAGTCAGCAGCTTTGGCAATCTTTGGCGAGTCACCACGTCGCTAGTTTACTCCATTGCGAAAAAGGAAATCCAGTAAGGAGACCCGAAACTTGTAACCCAGACATCTCGCGTTACAGAGAGAGAAAACTAAAAACGGATTCGGAATCAGTATAATCGATTCTATAAGATGGCCTGTTTTAAAAGCTCACGAGCACCTGGCGGCGTTCCCTAATGAGACAAAGTACAGTTGCCCATGAATACGTTTCAAATTTTTTTCGTTTTTCATATCAATTCTTAAATAAATTCGTTTCAAATTCTTAAGCGCACCCTTCAAAATAAAGATTTTTGCATTTTAAACAATGCTGCAACTATTATTCCTTTTCTATTGGAAACCTAGAAACCTAGAAAACACTAAAAAAATCCGATGGTGTTTGGGATTCGAAACTTTGGCAGTGGTTCTGTGATGGTTTGGACCGCCTTCTGTGCTGATAGGTCGATCTGAAGATGGTTTCAAATCGGATGCATCGTTTTGACTATTTGGATTGGATTGATTATACCTTGGACGATTGCTTGATGCCGTTTCTGCATTAAAACAGAAGCCAGGACCAAAACCAAAGCTTACATCACGAGCTAAGCGCCATATTTTGAACATCCACGCAAAAAGCGATCAATGAAGTGAAAACGGAACTGAAAATCAATTGGAAAACGTCAATCGATTTTCAAAATGGAAATTTTTTGGTAAAACAATCGTTTCAAATTCTTAAGCGCATCTGTGTTTACACCCGTGTTTCCTGTTGTTTAAATGTTTTCCTTTTCCTTTTGTTGTTCCTTTTCCTTTTGTTGTTCCTTTTCCTTTTGCATATTTTATTATTAAATTTATAATTCTTATTAATTTCCAGGTAAACGGCATACGGAAAGCTGAAAGCTGTATAATTATATTCTTCACGGTAATAATCTCCACCGACTGACCATCGTTGAATGGATTCAAATGTAAAACTGAACAAGAACGATGCTCAAAGAGTTTTAAAGAAATCTAAAGTCTCAACTTTCATCACCAACAGAACAACAGAGCAAAATGTTTGTGTTGAGCGCAAAACAACTGTGTCCATTGTGTGTGGGTGTGCAAAGAGTGCATAAAGTTGTCAATTCAATAGTTGACCCAGAGATTTACAAGCACCGATCTTTGGGGGTCATTCGAGGCCTTTTCCCCCCATAAAGACCCCACCAAATAGCACCACTTCTCGTTGTAAAATGACCCTTTCATTTGAGGCCGACCATATTGACTTTTGTGAAAGAAATTTTGAAAGATTGTTGAAGCTATGATTGATCAAAGGGATGTAGCCATTTGCCAGAGAACGAGCGTTTGCCAGAGAACGTTTGCCGCCATGGCCAACTGGTTAAGAGCCCGGTTTCTTAGTCGGGAGGTCAAGGGTTCAATTCCGCTGGCTAGATTTTCGTTTATTCGTTCTTTTTTTTCTCATATACCGTATTCTCTCTAATAGTAGTGCGCACTAGTATTTTTTGAACCTCCTCCTGGAGCGCAATACTATTAGAGAGTGCAGTACTATTAAAGAGTTTTATCATTTACCAAAGTAAGACAGATATAAGATTTGTTCCAAAAATTCTTGCAATTCTTTCACGTACTCCTTTGGCTCCTTTTGACATACAGTTGTGGGCCGGCGAGTTGACAATTTGTGTCTTCACAAACAACAAAAAGATGTTTTTGCAGGGGGTAGTCAAAACAGCGCCATAATAGAAAACGTTCAAAACAGCGCCGTCAAATTTCTCAAAATCCAAAAAACCAAGCTGGTTCAAGTTTTATATCAACAAATTCCTTGCGTTCTTGGCTACATGATGGGTGAAACAGTTTTTAAAAAAAGTTAATATTTCATAGATAAAAAGAGCACTCAAAATGGGTCTCTAAAGATATTCAGTTAACCAAATGAGTATCACTCGACACACATTTTGAGTGCTCTTTTTATCTATGAAATATTAACTTTTTTTAAAAACTGTTTCACCCATCATGTAGCCAAGAACGCAAGGAATTTGTTGATATAAAACTTGAACCAGCTTGGTTTTTTGGATTTTGAGAAATTTGACGGCGCTGTTTTGAACGTTTTCTATTATGGCGCTGTTTTGACTACCCCCCGTTTTTGCACTTTGCACAACAATTTTAGATTTTTTGCTAACTTTTTCATGTGAAGAATAGTTAATAAATGAATAAAAAAGCCTCACTTTTGCTTGCTTGAATAGCTTTAGAATGTCACATAAACATAAAGTCAAAAAGGTTTAGATCAAAAAGAAGCAAACAGAAATTCAAATTTTCGGGAATGCACTACTATTTTTTCAAGCCCCTCCTGGACCGCAATACTATTAGAGAGTGCACTACTATTAAAGAGTGCACCTCTATTAGAGAGAATACGGTATATGGTTTTTTTCCCTACATTTAGGGCTTAGGAGTTATCTTTGCATATTGTTTGTATCACATTATTATCAATATTTTTTAAAAGGTACAGGATTGCTTGAAAAGGCCAAAAGTTAAGCTTCTAGTCGTCTAAAAGTCAAGCTTTGAGGCTTGTTTTGCCTGAAAATTTCTACAAATTTGTCAGTCCAATCGAAATTCTCACGCTGCGCATAAATGCGATCTGGGAAATAAAACCATAGAAAGGAAAAGGAAACCACAGAAGGGAAAAGGGAACCATTGAAGGGGAAAGGGTTTAAACATGAAAATTTCTAGTTTTCTGTAACTAGTTTTCTGTTTTCTGTAGATTCTAATATATTAAGGAACAAGATTTAATAAAAATGAGACCAAAATTCCTTCCGAATTTAATAAAATAGATGTTCTCTCTGTTAGATTGAAAAAAGTGCTTTTATCAGCAAAACTGATAAAACATACAATCACAATTCATAGATAAATAGGAATAAGAGATTGCGGAGAATTCATAATCAAATTCTCAAATAACTGGTGGATGAAACTCCAAGATTTGGCCAAGAAATGTAAATTCACGAATTTTTGAACAAGAATGGCAGAAACAAGGAAAATGGCATTATTGTACAATTCAATAACTTCAGATTATCGATAGAAAAACTCAACGATCTCATCATTTGATCTCAACGAGTGCTCAGGATACAGATCAGCAAGCAGATAGTCAAGAAAAGTGCATATAAGATGTATCGAATTGGTGGAATAGGAGATTGTGGAGAATTCGGTGGAGTGCTCAGCTGGCTTTCGAGGCAAATGTCCGGATTCAGACAAAACCACAACTTCTCGTCCCACACAAGTTCTTTCGGGCAACGGGCATCGATACGCTTCTGGAAAATGGAAACTGGAAACTGGAAACTGGAAACTGGAAACTGGAAACTGGAAACTGGAAACTGGAAACTGGAAACTGGAAACTGGAAACTGGAAACTGGAAACTGGAAACTGGAAACTTTAGAAGAAGGAGTGCAAATTTGTTGGTCAGCAGGGTTGTTTTAAAAGTCATTTTGAGGCCTTGCCAGGCCAGAAGCCAGATCCTGCTTTGCTGTTGGCCTGGCCTGGCTCACTGTGAGTCTGGCCTGGCCTGGCTCACTGTGAGTCTGGCCTGGCCTGGCTCACTGTGAGTCTGGCCTGGCCTGGCTCACTGTGAGTCTGGCCTGGCCTGGCTCACTGTGAGTCTGGCCTGGCCTGGCTCACTGTGAGTCTGGCCTACAAAAATCGTTACTTACTATTATGACTTATAAGTAGGGATGTCCAGAAATTTACCGGGTTAGACAAAGGTCATTAATCTTATTCTTTAAAGTACATGGTGTTCAATATTTATGGGGATCAGATCACTGGGTTTAAATAGATCACTGGGTTTAAATATTTATGTACAAAGCTTGTACAAATCTAATGTTAAAAAAGAAACAAACATATCAAACAGATATACTTTAACGTAGCTATTAGCTATTGTAGCTATTAGCTATGTACAGTACTGGACAATGAAATATGATATTTGAAAAACGATCGTCACTTTCGCGCGTCTGTAACTCCCTTGTCTTTGAGTTTAAACTATTAGTGTTATACATTTGCTGAAAGCTCTTTTCAAGGGCTACACAATGGTAATATTAATATTTAGAAATACGGTAAAGGCAAGGGGGTTCCAGAGGTGCGAAAGTGACGATCTTTTTTCAAGTATGATATTTCATTGTCCAGTAGGGTAGCTATTAGCTATGTAGCTATTAGCTATGTAACTATTAGCTATTAGCTAATAGCTGTAGCTGTGCTTGTAGCTACTAAAGTCCTAGATCCATTTGCAAAGTCAAATACGGTAAATAAGTAAGCAGAAGATGCGGAACTTGACCCTAAACTTGTCCTCTCATCACACTCATTATCCCCAGCGATTACCGTAGGATGAAATGATTGTTGGGCGGGGCTTCCCCCAAAGAAAAAAAAACGTGAAAATACAATTAATAAAGAAAATAAAGTTTAATTCACTTTCTTTCAAAGTTATTGCCTTTCGCGTTGATTTTTGTCTATAAACTCCCGTGGAAAGCGCTCACTGTGACACGGAGGTAGAGTACATCACAAATTCACATCACAAATTTATCACAAATTTATCTTAAGTTTTCTTGAAAGAATCAAAATTGAAATATGTAAATGAAATATATGTTGTGTCCGATTTAGATTTCCGTCCGATTTAGATTCAATCTAAATCTTATATAGATTGAACAATAATACGTCTTATATATTAGGTTGGTGCAAAAGAAATTTCGGTCGATATAAAATGTTCTTATTTTTTTAATCTGAAGAGCTTATTTGATGTTCTTTTGTGCATTTGTAGTCTTGGATATTTACTTTATTTTCGCATTTTTTCAAAGTCAGAGCTTTCACTTTTTAATTGATTTTTGCTTTAGATCATGGTGGATCAAAAGTATGTTCTGCGCACGTGTCTTCTCTATGACTTCAAAATGGGCAAAAACGCTGCTGATTCACATCGTGATCTCTGTTCCGCCTTTGGAGAACAGGTTATCACCGAAAGATCATGCCAGCTCTGGTTTGCCCAATTCCGAGATGGTAATGAATCCCTTGAAGACGAATCGCATGGACATCGTGCCACAGCCATCGACAACAATGAATTGAAGCTGATCCAATGCAAACAACACGAGAACTTGCCAAACATCTCCAATTCAACAATTGTACGCCATTTGGAAATAATTGGAAAGACAAATCGTAATGGACAATGGGTTCCACATCAATTGAGTGTTGAGAATCTGGGAGCACGCGTTCCGATCAGCCATATCTTGCTCCAGAAGTCGAAAAGAAGCCATTTTTTTGAGAATATCTTGACGATGGATGAGAAGTGGATTCACTTTGATAATACTTCTCGAAAAAGACAATGGCTGAGCAAAGGTCAAGCGCCAATTCCAACTCCAAAGCCGGATTATCATGGGCCCAAAGTGATGTTGTCTTGCTGGTGGAATATCAGCGGGCTTGTTTATTTTGAATTATTAGAGCCCGGAAAAACGGTCGATTCATCTTATTTTATTCAACAACTCAAGAAGGTTGACGAAATTTTGCGTGAAAAAGGCCTAAATCCCTCAACTATCAGCTTTCTCCGTGATAATGCTCCAGCTCACACGGCAAAAACCTCTTGTAAGGAACTAGAGAAGCTAGGATGGAAGGTCTTACCACATGCGCCGTATAGTCCAGACTTAGCACCCTCCGATTTTCACCTTTTCAGATCGATGCAACATTCCCTTGAGAATTGCCAGTTTAAGAATGCAAAAGAAGTCGAAAATTGGGTGACCAACTACTTTGCATCACAGAATCAAGCGTTCTTTGAGAAGGGGATCCGCAATCTGTAGCAACGTTGGAGGGATGTCATAGATAATAATGGTGCTTATTGTTTTAAATAAATTGTTATCAAAAAAAATTTTGGATGACTTTAATGTTTGTAAAAAAACGAAATTTCATTTGCACCAACCTAGTAGATTGAACAATAATATAAACATGCTTAATATATGTTCTTAAGCGTTTTCTGTAGTTTTCTGCATTTTTCAAAGGTCTGTTACTGTCTTTTTCTGAAAAGAAAACCCAACTATGAAATAATTTATTAGCGTTAACAGAATAGATGCAAAATTACAACATCCGAAAATAGACTTTAATCAATAAAAGACCTTTGAAAAATGCAGAAAACTACAGAAAACGCTTAAGAACATATATTAAGCATGTTTATATTATTGTTCAATCTATATAAGATTTAGATTGAATCTAAATCGTCCGATATAGACTGTAATCTAAATCGGACGTCCGCGATAAGTTCAATCTAAATCGGACACAACATATAGATGAAAAGAACCAACATTTATAATGTCCAATAAATCTGAAAACTGGTAAATAGCGAAGAATTTCTTATCATTAAACAAGAATAACTAGGTCTAACGCCTTTCGATGTAATTTAGTGATAAAGTTTCAATGAATCGGTTTCTCGAATAATAAATTGAGTAAACAGTGAAAGTAATTGAATTGTTATGTTTGTCCCAACTCTGTAATTCAGTCCTTTCTTAATGATTTTTTTCATAAACCAATTTTGGAAGCGCTAAGCAATCTTCAGACCAAAAAGTCCCCATAAATATTGAAAACCCTGTATTATTCTTACTATAATAACTGGCCAAAGCCAAAGCAAGATTAGATCAAGATTACTTTAGTCACAGTTTATACCTGGGTGAGCAATCAATGGCCAACTGGCGCTGGGCACATTCTACTTAAAAGTTAATCTTGAAAATCTCAAAGCTTTGGCAAAGTTGATAAGGTAAAAGCAGAAAGGTGTGTAAAATTTTTGCTAAAGCTTTAATATCTACGGTTTTCAACTATAGGGCACAATAGTTGGATGTATTTTTTTAGAGTTCTGCATTTTGTGTTTTTCAAGCTCACCAACCTTGTCCTTGCAAACGACGAACGAATTGCTACATCCTTGTGCAAAGGTGCCAAGGTTAATATGATTGCAGAGGAAAGGAGCTGAATCGCTTTCATTTTAGCCATCAAAATTCTACATTCAAATCTCACTTCTGATGTCATCGATTTTTGTCCCAATTGGCGGCTTCTCGTGCCAGCAATCACCGAATTGAGGCTCACATTGGTTCGTCTTCTCAGAGAACACCAGCGAGGGGCCGCAGCTAAAATTTTGATATAGAATTTCATAGTTTTTTAGTTTTTTAACGGTCCAGAAGATGAGGTTTGCTTTCGTTGTTTCCATTCAACTCCCCAAACCATCTTATAGTTAGTTTTGGACTTCATTGTGGTCCAGTCACGAAATGTTCCGGATTCTTCACTTAGCTCCCAAATGGAAATAGATTTCTTAAAGTTACAAGTTGTTATGAGAAGTAAAAAAACATCGAGGTTGAAAAATTTAATCGCAGTCTCAATTTGGCGCTATTTTTGGATGGGTGCTGTTTTGAACGGCGCTATTTTTGAACGGCGCTGTTTTGAACGGCGCTGTTTTGAACGGCGCTGTTTTGAACGGAGCTGTTTTGAACGGAGCTGTTTTGAACGGAGCTGTTTTGGCGGCGCTATTTTCCTCCCTAAAATTAACATTTCAAATTTGCGACAGGGATTTAAATTAACATGAAAACGTCTCGAAAAACATTCTTTTTTGACTATCATTCTCTACTTTTTAAAGATATCATAAAATTGAATTGTTTAATGCTTCCGGAAACTTTAACGCTCTATCAAATCTCATCAAAGACGTGCTGAATCTTTCAAAGCCTCACAGGCGTACCTAGCGCTGGCTTTGAACGATATCTCCTTCAGAATGCAGAAAAAATGCCAAGATAGTTAGAAAAATTGGCTTTAAACTAGAATCCTAGAATCCCTTAAACTAGAATCCTTTTTCCTTAATTTTAATATCTACTCACTCTTTCCAAAGTCCGTTCTCAAGATAGTAGGGGCTGCACTGTCCAAAAGACACAGCTCCAAGCATGGCGGGCTCGATTCCAAGCTAAAACTTGATATTATTTCTGAAAGGGCTAAAATGGCTGTCCTGCTAACTATTAGGTTGTTCGGATATAAACAAGCGTTACTAACTATTGTTAGTTAGCGTTACTAACTACTATCGTTGTGAGAGAAGCTTTTAAAATATGTCTTTCTTTATTTACAGTACACTCTGACGACACTAAATATCATTTTTAACTCTTTTATTCTCTCATAAGTCTTAGTAACACTTTGTTTTTTTAAAAGTAATTGTTTATGCACTTGACTTCCCCCGTTCTGTTTACATCTAAAAAGTCGGCTTATCAATCCCCTTTCATTTCATATATTAGGTTGATGTAAACAAGCGTTACTAAACTTATTGTTGTGAGAGAAGCTTTTAAAATATGTCTTTCTGTATTTAAAAGTACGTTATCTTGTGCATATTTGGAATCTTTTTAAACGGATAATTTCTTATTTTTAAGATCTTTTTTCTTGCTTTAGATGACCGACTTCAAATATATCAAGTTCGCGTCTACTTTACTTATCAATAAGCCTACTTTACGACTTCAAACTGGGCAAAACAGTCGCGGAATCCTATCGAGATTTGGTCAAAGCATTTGGGAATGATGTATTGTTTGAAAGTCGATGCTGAGCCTGGTTCTAACGGTTTCGGAATGGTGTTGAAAGTCTCGAGGATCATGAACACTCTCGTCAAGAATATCGTTGTCTACCTCAAGCTATAGACAACGATATTTTGAGGGCTGCAATCGAATCGGATCCATGTCAAACCACGCGTGAACTTGCTCAACAGTTTCTATGTTCAAATTCTACCATTGATGAGCATCTCCACCCATTGGAAAGGCGATCAGATACGGGAAATGGCTTCCTCACGAGTTAAGCAGTGCAAACGCTCATTTATATCCGAACAACCTAATAATCAAGAACTTAGCAAGTAGTAAAAAGTTTGGTTAATGTGATGCTTGTTCAAAAAGAATTCTACATTACCTGAACGTAGTAGCCGTCAACCGTTAAAACGACGAACACCGAAAAGAACTTGATCAACATTTGTTGAAGAAGCTGACCAAGAAATGATGGAAATAATAAAGAAAACATAAAAATAGGAAGTTCCAGAAAAAAAAAACTGGAATCAAGTACATCTCTTGAAATGGAATATGTACCGTAACACTTGTACTAGGCAACACTTGTACCAGGCAACACTTGTACTAGGCAACACTTGTACTTGTACTTGCACAAGAACATTTGCAGCTGTTGATGTCACAAATTCTTGCAGATTCAATTGCAATTATGCTAGAATTTGTTGAATCTAGTATCTAGTATTTTTAATGTCAGGGTTACACAAAATGATCAGAGTTGCTAGCTATGAGGCTCATTTGAAAAATCATGGGCTACGGTAAAAACGACGGTATACGATAAATGTTAGGTTGTCCAGTTATGAATGCACGCCTGCTCTTGAACAGCATACCTTGGGGCTATACAATTTTATCAAACCCTATTCCCTATATGCTGTTCAAGATTTCTTATTTATTGCAACTTTTCGTGTTTTTGACGTTAAACTAATTCATTTTTGAATTAATTTCCGTGTTTAGATGACCGAGACAAAGTTTCGTCTTCGTGCCAGTCTTTGGTATGACTTTAAATTGGGCAAAAATGCCGCTGAATCTCGTCTTACTTGAGATGAAAAGTGGATTCAATATGATAATTCTACACGAAAACGGCAATGACCTGGTGAAGAGCCAATACCAACACCAACCCGACTTTCACGGCAAAAAAGTAATGCTTTCTTTCTGGTGGAATTCCCAGGGTATTGTTTATTTTGAGCTGCTTGTACCTGGACATGCAATCACGAGTGAAACGTATGCATAGCAACTGGAACTAGTGAAGAATGTATTGCTACTGGTCTTGATCCTTCGAACATAAAGTTCATACAAGATAACGCCCGTCCACACGTTGCAAAGATTGTTCAGGAAAAACTCGAAGACTTTTCCCGCTGGGAACCTTTCCCGCATCCGCCATATTCTCCGGATATTCCTCTTTTGGATTACCATTTATTTCGCTCAATGCAAAACCATTTGGCTGGAAACAAGTTCAAAGAAGTTCAAGAGGTCAAAAGTGGATAGCCGACTTCTTTGCCTCGAAACAAGCCAATTTTTACGCTGAGGGAATTCATTCTTTGCATGGAAGATGGAAACAAATATTGTTAACAAATGATGACCGAGACGAAGTTTCGTCTTTGTGCCAGTCTTTGGTATGACTTTAAATTGGGCAAAAATGCCGCTGAATCTCATCGAGATCTCTGCAAAGTATTTGGCGAAGATGCTATTTCGGAAAGCCAGTATTGCCGATGGTTTCAACGATTTTGAGAAGGAAATCAATCCTTGGAAGACGAAAACCACCAACGACGGCCTCCTGCGATCGATAATGCAGTACTGAAGCAGGCGATAGAAATGGATCCTCGACAAACTACACGTGAACTTGCAGAAATATTTAGAGTAAGCCCTCAAACAATTTCCGAGCATTTAAATCAATTGGAGAAAACAAGCCGACAAGGGAAATCCTCATCTTCTCAGCAATGCCAATAAAGCTACTCGTGTCACTATGGCGGGTATTCTTCTTCGTTTGGCAAAAAACACTGGGTTTTACGATGAAATCCTTACTTGCGATGAAAAATGGATTCAATATGATAATTCTACACGAAAACGGCAATGGCTAGAACCTGGTGAGGAGCGAACACCAACACCAAAACCCGACTTCCATGGCAAGAAAGTAATGCTTACTGTCTGGTGGAATACCCAAGGGATTGTTTCTTTTGAGCTGCTTAAACCTGGACAAACAATCACGGGTGAAATGTATGCACAACAATTGGAACGAGTGAACAATGTATTGCTACAATCGGCCTCCTGCAATCGATAATGCAGTACTGAAGCAGGCGATAGAAATGAATCCTCGACAAACTACACGTGAACTTGCAGAAATATTTAGAGTAAGCCCTCAAACAATTTCCGAGCATTTAAATCAATTGGGGAAAACAAGCCGACAAGGGAAATGGGTTCCTCATCTTCTCAGCAATGCCAATAAAGCTACTCGTGTCACTATAGTGTACAGTCTTTCACAAACAATCTCAGTTGTTATCTTAAAAACGCACATTTATAACTGGACAACCTAATAGATAAATATTCAATAGATATTGATATTCAATAGATTCAAAGCTTTTGAAAAGTTGAAAACCATTTCTTAATAAAAATTGAAAGCCGTAAGAAATTTGTGAATAAACAGCTTAGGCTGAAGCAGGCAAAAGGTTCGAATGTTTACATGATGAAAAGAAAATATTTTCTGTGTCAAAGAGATGCTGATGAGTAAGCGGCACGATGAGCAGAGGAAAAACAACAATCAATGAGCCGATTTTCTCTTCGCAGATGTTGCTTTTAGAGAAGTCTTTTTGCTATTTTGATCGTCTATCCAGATAGGGAATTCAGGGAAAATTTTCCTCTTTTACGCTTTTCAGGGAAAATTTGTTGAAAAGACCACTTTTTTCAGAGTTTCAGAGTTTCACAACTGTCCAATGCCAAAGCATTCTGTGTGTTGAAATTTGCAATTTGTACATGAGCTTACTAGGTTGATGCAAAAGAAATTTCGGTTTTTTTACAAGCATTAAGTTTAATCAAAATCAGGTAACAGTTTAGGTAACAGTAGGTAACATTTTATTACTGACTTATTACCCTTTAGGTAGCAGTTTATTCAAAACAATAAGCACCAACGTTATCCATAAAATCCCTCCAACATTGCTTTAGATTGCCCCTTATCGAAGAACTCTTGATTCTGTGATTGAAAGTAGTAGACCAGCAGATGATGCATAAGCTTAGACTATACGACGGATGCGGTAAGACCTTCCATCCTAATTCCTCTAACTCCATACAAGAAGCTTTTTATGTGTGAGCTGGTCACGAAGAAAATTGACAGTCAAGGGATTTAAACCCTTTTGACGCAAAATTTGGTTAACCTTCTTAAGCTGTTAAATAAATAAAGGCGAAACAACTGTTTTTCCGGGCTCTAATAATTCGAAATAAACAAGCCCGCTGATATTCCACCAGCAAGACAACATCACTTTGTCCTCATGATAATCCGGCTTTGGAATTGGAATTGGCATTTGACGCCATTGAGTCTTTTTCGAGAAGTATTATTGAAGTGAATCCACTTCTCGTCCATCATCAAGATATTCTCAAAATGGCTTCTTTTTGATTTGAGAAGCAAGATATGTTGATCGAAAGGCATGCTCCCAGATGTGGAAAATCGGTGCTCAATTCATATGGAACCCATCGTTCATTACGATTGATTTTTCCGATTATTTCCAAAAGGCGGACAATTGTTGATTGATCAGATTGCAGATTTTGGAGAGCTCTCGTGTTGTTTGCATTGGATCGACTTCAATAAGTTGTTTCAAGTCATTGTTAACAGAAAACAATGGTAACAAAATGGTAATACCGGTAGTTAACGGTAAATGGTAAACGATAAATAAACATTTCTTGTTATTGTTTACTATTATTTACCGTTTACCGTTAAATGTACCGTTAGACAAGTCTGGTCTGCACACTCTTGATCAAAAATCGAACCGATTCGAACAGAAAATTTTTGCCTGAATCCGATTCGCTTCGCAGTTTTTACGATTTACTTTGATTTACTTTGATTTACTTTGATTTACTTTGATTTACTTTGATTTACTTTGATTTACTTTCATTTACTTTCATTTACTTTCATTTACTTTGATTTACTTTGATTTACTTTCATTTACTTTCATTTACTTTCATTTACTTTCATTTACTTTCATTTACTTTCATTTACTTTCATTTACTTTCATTTTTTTTAATCCCATTCCATTCACTGTTTGACTTCTCGTTAAATCAAATCAAAATTCAGTAAATCAAAAAAGATCTCTAGGAAAAGTTACGGGAAAAATTAGATTAAATTTTCATAAGTACCTGTATCGTGAAAGTATCAAATTTGAAAACTACTATTGATTTTGTGCAGAAAAGTAGCTCTTTTCTGTGAAATCTTATTCGATGCTTTGATTTGGAATATCTCTGATTCTCTTGACGGAAACATTTTTTGGTCCCTTCTATTCCGTTCTAGAGGGAATCGACTGTACTTACTTTTGCTAAGAGTACCTTTACTTATTGTGATTGTTATATGAAACAAATATTGAGCTTTGGAATGAAAAGTTTCTCTAAAATGACTATGAAATGTTCGAAGTTGTCAAAAAGTTGTCAAAAAAAGTGGATACAATAGTAGAATTGTGCAGAAAAGTAGCTCTTTTCTGTGAAATCTTATTCGATGCTTTGATTTTGAATATCTCTGATTCTCTTGGCCTTCCTCTAAAGATCGTTTGTGTGATTAAAAAGAGACGGAGCCCACTTTTTATTCCTTTCGTTTGGCTTTGACACCAACGATTGATTCTATTTTGTTGTATTTTCTCGCTAGATTAGTGTGCTAGATTGTGATGGGATAGATTCGGAATAAAATATTTGAATAATCATTGTCCCATCGGTACCCCACTCACTGCACAGATTTTCTATAAAAAAACTCTTCAATTTTCCATCAGATCGATTCAAAACGGAGCTTTTCTCGTTTCAAATGATACGAAATACATAATATACAGCTTTGTTCCGGTCTTTTTCCAGCAAGGAAAAGGGGTGCTAAAACACGGATTCGCTGATAAGAAGCCAAGCAAATTGGAGTGATTAATCAAAGTTGAACACGCGAATCGAATCGAATTCAAGGATGGGAAAATTTAATCTCATAATCTGCTTGTTTCTATCAATATTTTCTTTCTCACACGCTTACAAGGTTTTCGTGTATTCGCCGAGATTCGCGCTGAGTCATGTGAAATTTATGGGAAGAATTGCCGATATTTTACAGGATGAGGGATTTGATGTGGTGAGTTTGACTGGTTTTTCTTTTGAGGCAACTTTTTTGAACAACTTTCAACAGCTGAGTAACGGTTTTGTTCATCTGCGATTGACCATTAGATACAATAGCTCTATTTTGTGTTGCTTTTGATTCAGAGTTGAATTTTCAAGGACAAATCTGTCTAGGAAGATTGGAAGCTTACTGGAAGCTGACAAATCTGTCTAGGAAGATTGGAAGCTTACGGGAAGCTGACAAATCGGTCTAGGAAGATTGGAAGCTTACTGGAAGCTGACAAATCTGTCTAGGAAGATTGGAAGCTTACTGGAAGCTGACAAATCTGTCTAGGAAGATTGGAAGCTTACGGGAAGCTGACAAATCGGTCTAGGAAGATTGGAAGCTTACTGGAAGCTGACAAATCTGTCTAGGAAGATTGGAAGCTTACTGGAAGCTGACAAATCTGTCTAGGAAGATTGGAAGCTTACGGGAAGCTGACAAATCGGTCTAGGAAGATTGGAAGCTTACTGGAAGCTGACAAATCGGTCTAGGAAGATTGGAAGCTTACTGGAAGCTGACAAATCTGTCTAGGAAGATTGGAAGCTTACGGGAAGCTGACAAATCGGTCTAGGAAGATTGGAAACTTACTGGAAGCTGACAAATCGATCTAGGAAGATTGGAAGCTTACTGGAAGCTGACAAATCTGTCTAGGAAGATTGGAAGCTTACGGGAAGCTGACAAATCGGTCTAGGAAGATTGGAAGCTTACGGGAAGCTGACAAATCGGTCTAGGAAGCCAGCCCATTTAATCCGCCTTTCATTTATTGGTCTTAAGATGCTTCGTTAAGTCAAAATGAATTTGCAAGTGTGCAATGCAATGTAATTGCAAGTATAAGGCGTTTAAACTTGAATTCAGGTTTATTTTTTAAAAGCTTGGGTACTTTTCTATTAGACGGACACAAATTTACTCTATCTGGATCAACTCTATCTTGCGGATCGTTCTGCCGAACTTTGGAGAGGCAAATAGAGGATATCGAACCGGAAACTTGTGACTACATCTACAGTGACTCATCTACAGTGATTTGTGGAAAGATTATTGGACAAAGAATCTCAAGGAAGCCGGTTACCAGTACGCAATGGTGAATCACAACATAAACTTTCTCGACCCGTCCGACCCCAACATCCACACTCAAATCATTATAAGGCGTTTAAACCTGAATTCAGGTTCATTTTTTAAAGTCTGGAAGCCATCGGAAGTCTGGAAGTCTGGAAGTCTGGAAGTCTGGAAGTCTGGAAGTCTGACTGGCCAAGTGTAGGAACAAGTAGCACCGAGAAACGGCTCGCCACCAGCTTGAAAGTCATTTCTCAACAGCGTGTCCGTTTGTGTGTCCATTGATTTTTGTGTCCGTCTAATAGAACAGTTCCAAAGCTTGGATTAACATTGAACTTGTATAAGATTATTGCATAAGTCTTTAGTATTAGGTTGATGTAAAAGTCTTTTTCATTTTTTTCGTACTTCCGTTAAAAAGTAACAAATGCACCAATTGAACAACGGTTTATTGCATTCGAAAGGCCAATTATTTTTCTGCAAAATGACATTAAAACGAGTTTAAAATGTCTTCTGTCTAGATTTTTTTGAGAGCCTGAAGTCGGGTAGTCAAAAAAGGCGACGGCTCGATGATGCATTTTAGACGCTTTAGCTAAGGAAACCAATCTTGATGTTAATAAATAAAAGATAGAGCACAAAAAGTTAGATATTTTTTCAGATTTTCAGAGAAATTGATTCAGCCAATCTCTTTATAGAGGTTTTTATAGATTTTTATGAAAAACCCGTTTTCACTCTCGAATTTGCTTGAAAGTGAACCCAAATTGACTTAAAAAATGGGAAATTGAACAATAAACACTTTTCATTTAGAGCAAACCATAGGTTAATTGATGACTTTGTTATTTTTCAAAAGAAGTACGAAAAAAATGAAAAAGACTTTTGCATCAACCTAATAAATCTTTGAAATGTAATTTCTCAAAGAAATAAACTATATTTATTCAAAATAATCACCATTATTATATCTATAATCGCTATAATATCGGGGGTGGGACAAATGCGACCTTTTTTTGCGCACCCGGACATTTGCGCACCTTTTTTTGCTGGAAAAGGCCTTAGAGCTTCGAAAATATTTCCATATAAGGGAATCGTATGCGTAGATTCCGAATTTCGACAAATCAGACCTCGCTGACACGTCAAATTTGGGCTAAAAGGCAAAAACTACGCAACTTAACGCTTTTCCGCAGTTTTTGCCTTTTAGCCCAAATTTGACGTGTCAGCGAGGTCTGATTTGTCGAAATTCGGAATCTACGCATACAATTCCCCTATATGGAAATATTTTCGAAACTCTACGGCCTTGCCTAAGGCCTTTTCCAGCGAAAAAAAAGGTGCGCAAATGTCCAGGTGCGCAAAAAAAAGGTCGTATTTGTCCCACCCCCATAATATCGATCTAATATCGATCTAGTATCAATCTAATATCTATAATCGATATAATATTGATCATACTTTAGACAGTGCTTCAACCGATCACCAATAAAGACACTGGCGAAGTGACTGGAGTGAAAAAAGCGAAACTGATCACCGTTGATCAAGATCCGGAAATCTCTGTGGATTTCCCAGCAATTTGGAATGAGTTCAGAAATCCTTGGGTGAAAGAGCCGGAGTTTCCGGTGAGTTTTTGAGTTGGAAGAGGCTTCAAGGTGTACTTTGTGTTCAAGTACACTTTGTATTCAAGAAAGCATTCCTTCTGGCGTCCAGCGCTTGAAAAAATATAGCTTCAGGTGCACTAGAAAGGGTGGGTTTCTTGAGCACAAAGTACACAAGACTTTCAAAAGATGTCTCTTGAAAAATCTGAAATTTTCAGAAGCTTCTCGGCACTTCAGTGCACTATGCAAGTCAATGCAATTGTGAGTTCTGGCTATAAACTCTTTTTTGGCTATTTTGGCTATAAACTCTGTTTGAAAACATTGAAGATCCGTATTTTTACTTTTTAAATCAATCTTAATCTTAATCTTAATCTGCTTTAGTTACAATGAATCACAAAGAATTGATGGATCAGCTCAGCGGTGAAAAATTCGATGTCGGGATCACGGAGATGTACGATCATTGTGGGATTGGTGAGTGACAGTTTGAGCACTTTCTTCAAAAGAAACCCATTTTGGTGTCAATAGAAAAGTTGTAGAGAATCAAAAATTAGGCTTATAGCCAAATTTCCAAAAAGATACACTTAGTAGTTTCGCTTAAAATGCAAGTTTTGTTGCAAGTTTTGTGAAAATTCGTAAATTTGGCATTCCTAGAAAACCAGTTTTTGAATCGTTCTGAAAATTTGGATATAGGCTTAATTTTTGATTCTCTACAACTTTTCCATTGACACCAAAATGGGTTTCTTTTGAAGAAAGTGCTCAAACTGGCACATATGACAACAGCCCGCAGTTTTCAATTCACCAACCCAATAGTAAAGTAACGAATTTCCACAAAACTTGCATTTTAAGCGAAACTACTAAGTGTATCTTTTTGGAAATTTGGCTATAAGCCTAATTTTTGATTCTTTACAACTTTTCTATTGACACCAAAATGGGTTTCTTCTGAAGAAAGTGCTCAAACTGGGACATCTCCAATCCTCCATTTTTGAGTCTCACACTTGTCTCACACACAAACCAAAATCCTATTACGAAAGAGGAATCCGCAAATTGCCTGTAAAATGGGCAGAAGTCGTCAATAATAATGGGAACTATTTGGAATGAATTGATGGTTTTATGTTGAATAGATTTTAGTTCAAAGTTCCGCAGTTCTCAATTCACCAACCCAATAGATTACGATTAATCTAATTACAACATTAGCTTTATCTTTGACTAATTATCTCCAATTTTAACTCTGAATCTCAATTGTAAATCCAGTTTTCAGTGCTCTTAAACCGAATCGGGGCAAAGTCTCACGTTTTGGCCACATCAACTATCTCGATGGAGTCAATCAATCAATTCATTGGAATTCCGAATTTATATTCTTATGTGCCAGGTATATTATCAAATTCTAAACAGATTACATGAGCAAAGTGCTTTCTTTAAGCTAAGCTCATTTAGACAAACTAATAGTAAGTCAAAGTTTCAGTCTCCGTGGCTAAAGCCTCCGATCAGATGGGTCTGAAGATGAAAATTGGATCGATCGTTTCAATGTAAATTTGAAGAATGAAAAATGGCTTGATAACCACAAAGAAATAAGAAACTGTAGAAGAAATAAGGAGGAAGAAATAAGAAGGGGGAAATAAGAAGGAAGAAATAAGGAAGAAGAAATAAGGAAGAAGAAATAAGAAGGAAGAAATAAGAAGGAAGAAATAAGGAGGAAGGAATAACTGCATTTCAGGCTTGGACTTCGGTATTACTATTATCGTTTCCGGTTGGAGATGGACAAAGTGATCGATCACCATTTTGGAGTGGGATCGTCGAGTACATCGGTGAGTTGATCGAGTTTTTGCCGCCTCAAAATGGTTTTTAGTCGATGAGTTTGGATTTTATGAGCAATCGAATTAGGGGTAAATACGCAGCTTTTTAGCTACTTTTAACTTACTCTGTTTAACTAAAATCTGTAGGCAAGTTATTCAGTTATTGATCCACTGGAAAGATCCTCGTTTTCCTAAGCCTAAGCCTAAGCCCGGTCCCTTTTTGCCAATGGCTGCGCACAGACCGACGGACAGACGTCTCTTCTGATTTATATATGTTAAGTCGGAATCCGGCCAGGCGTCCGTATCTGACCGGACGTCCGGATCAGATCCTGACGTCCGGATCCGACCACAAGATAATCAACGGCCGGATTCGGACGTTCGGATTAGATGCTGACGCGTCCGGATTAGATGCTGACGCGTCCGGATTAGTTGCTGACGTCCGGATCAGATGCTGACGTCCGGATCCGACCACAAGATAATCAACGACCGGATTCGGACGTCCGGATCAGATCCTGACGTCCGCTTCGAATTCGGACGTAACATATATAGTAGATGACGCTTACAGCTTTTTACAAGGGTAAAAGCTTATTTTTACCATTAACTTTAGATTTATTATAGCGCTTGTAGATTTATGCTTACCTCTTGAAGTAAAAATTCTCCAATTGTTTGTCGCAAAGCTCATTTTCTCCTTAAACTCTTCTCGACGCTTCTCTTCTCGACGAAATGCTTCTCGTTTTCCACTCAATCTAAGCCCCACCCCTGCGCACAGACCGGCGGACAGACGTCTCTTCCGCTTTATATAAAGTAGATGATGCTTACAGCTTTTTACAAGACTCCAGTCATTCAGTTAACAGATGTGATGGAAACTTTGAAACATCTACCTGCGTTTCCAATTTGAGCACATTTGAAGCACGCTTTCGGGAAGGGCCGAGTGGTTCATCTCTTCACTTGAACAATCATTCTCCGAACATTGAGCGATCGTTTCGCTTTCTAGTTCCCTCATCCACCTTGTTCTCTGGCCAGGCCTGATCGTAGAAGTCTTGCATGTGCTCGTCTTGCACGTTCCTCCTAGAAAAATCTCTGCAAAATCTCTGCAAAATCCCTGCACTAATAAAAGTGCAATAAAAGTAAAATATCTATTTTTTGTTATGGTAATTTTTGGGTTAAGTCATAAAAGGCTGTAAGGGGCTTCTATAAGAGTTTTTACGTTAATGTAATTTCTCTAGGAAATGATTGGAAACGCTGACATGGTGTTGACGAATTCGCATCCATATCTTGATTTCGCTCATCCGACTTTGGAGAAAATCGTTGACATTGGGAGTATAAGTGTTGATGAACCGAAAGCACTAGATGAGGTCAGATTTTCGTTCATGATCATGAGGAGAGAGCTTTTGTTGAAAAGGTTTTGAAGCTTAAAGCTTAAAGCTCAAATTGATCAGCTTAAAGCTTAAATTGATCAGCTGAAAGCTCAGATTGATAAGCTTAAAGCCTAAATTGATAAGCTTAAAGCTCAGATTGATAAGCGCAAAGCTCAGATTGATAAGCCTACAGCTTAAAACACAAATTGATAAGCCTAAAGCTCAGATTGATAAGCTTAAAGCTCAGATTGATCAGCCTAAAGCTAATTGATAAGCTTAAAGCTGAGTTGATAAGCCTAAAGCTTAAATTGATAAGCCTAAAGCTCAAATTGATCAGCTTAAAGCTCAAATTGATAAGCCTAAAGCTTAAATCTTATTAGAATTTTTTAGAGATGGCTGAAAATCACAAGCGTACGTTCGAAGACGATTTTACTCTCGTTTGGCTCTGTTGCGTATAGTACATTGATGCCAAAAGAATGGAGAGATTCGATTGTTCAAGCGTTAAAGGTTTGTACAATTTTGATAAAGTGAATCTCATGCTGATAGGTTTCAAGTAATTAGCAGTTATCTTATAAGTTATCTTATAAGTTATCTTATAAGTTATGTTATAAGTTATGCTATAAGTTATTTTATAAGTTATCTTATAAGTTATGTTATAAGTTATCGTATAAGTTATCTTCTGTGGAGTCTATGTGGTAAGTTATGTCTGCTTCTTTAAAGAAACAAGACTTTATTTAACCCTGAATCACCCCACCTCCCCTTAACCACATAACAACAAATAAAACTCATTAGAAATGAATGACAATCACTTAATAAATGAGAAACGAACCCTTGAAAGGGAGAAAGAAGTTATCTCTTATAAGTAATATCTTAAATGAAAGAAAAAGGACCCTAAGTTAGGAACTTTATAGCCTTTTATTTGTGAAAAGTTATCTTACAAGTTATGTTATAAGTTATGTTATAAGTTATCTTATAAGTTATCTTATAACTTATCTTATAAGTTATCTTATACGTTCTTATCTTATAATTTATCTCTTTTAGGCTTTCCCGGACGTGACTTTCATTTGGAAATACGAGAAACCGGAGGACAATTTCGCTGTTTCAGCACCAAACGTGAAACTGATCGATTGGGCTCCACAATTGGATTTATTATGTAAGACAAAGATCTAATAAAAGAAGATCAATTGGCTAAGCCGGCGAAATGCTATACCATTCGACGCAGAATTTGATGCTGATTCCGAATATGTATTCCGTTTTTGCTAAACGACAATCTGTCAGGAGTTATAAGCGTCTAGTTTTGTTAGGACTGAAATTGTTACCTTTGTTGAGACTTATTTGGGTCTTAGTGGCCTCCCGATTCGGCGCATTCGTGGCCGAGTGGTGTAGCGCTTGTCTCCAGAGCGTTCGATCCAAGTTCGATCGGTTGGATCTAAGCTTTGGATTTTTGAGTCGAGAATTTCCATAAATTGCCATTTATCTTTTTAATTCTGGTTAAAGTTTAGTTGCTGGGAAGATCGATCTTTTCATCACTCATGGTGGCCTTGGATCTGTTTATGAAACAGCACTAGCGGGTGGGATAAGTTTTGAGTTTAAGAAAGTGAATTTAAACATATTTTGGGGCACTAAACTAAAATTGTTACTGGGCTGGGCTGTAAGCACTTGTTTTATGTTGTTTTATTCAGCCGCTTGTACATTTAAGTCAATTCTGATCTGAAAGGTCTTTAAAATTCGAAAATTCAACAAAATTTTGTTTACAAGAAGTGTAGCAAAGAAATGTACTGGTTTTGGGAATGAATTGATTTTATTTAATCAATTTTCTTCAGGAGTTCCAGCCATTTTCATTCCCCTTTTCGCTGATCAATTCCGCAATGCGATGATGTGTGAAAGAAAAGGTTTCGGAGAGATTCTACCAAAAGAAAAGCTTGGAGAGCCACAATTTATCATTGATTTGATTAAGAAAATGTTGGAGAGTGAAAGGTGAGAAAAAAGTTAAATGAAAGTAACTTATTTTAGTCCAGAAAGTCGTCCAGAAAGTCGTCCAGAAAGTCGTCCAAAAAGTCATTTCGCTACTTTTCTGAATCTCTTAACTGAACGAGATATTAAAACGCTTTTTATGACTTTTTCTAATAAAGTTTAGTAGCTGCTTTGGTTGAAAAAGCTGGATGAAGCGAAAAGACTTTCTAAACAGTCTAATTGGTCTAAAGAGACTTTCTAGACCGTCTAATTAATCTAAAGAGGCTTTCTAGACAGTCTAATTAATCTAAAGAGACTTTCTAGACATTCTAATTAATCTAAAGAGACTTTCTAAACAGTCTAATTAATCTAAAGAGACTTTCTAGACAGTCTAATTAATCTAAAGAGACTTTCTAGACAGTCTAATTAATCTAAAGAGACTTTCTAAACAGTCTAATTAATCTAAAGAGACTTTCTAGACAGTCTAATTAATCTAAAGAGGCTTTCTAGACAGTCTAATTAATCTAAAGAGACTTTCTAGACAGTCTAATTAATCTAAAGAGACTTTCTAGGCAGTCTAATTAATCTAAAGAGACTTTCTAAACAGTCTAATTAGTCTAATTAAACCAAGAAGTCTTTGACAGACAGTTAGTGCTACCTATTACCCAATCGAACACGTTTTTGAATGCAACAGAACTTTAGTTACAAAGAGAACGCTGAGAAGACGGGAAGACGAATGAAATCCAGACCTTTATCTCCAAGAGAGCAACTTGTGAAGTGAGTTTTTGACACATAAAAATCAAGTCAGTAAGAAAACGGTTAAGTAATGCAAAGAATGAATTAGTTTGGTGCTTATGCATTGATTACATAAGCCTGCAAAATCTGAAAACGATTCGTCCAGCCATTTCCTTTAAAACCTTTTCCAAATTTTTCTTTCCGTAAAAAAGAATCCTTTGCCAAATCTGTTTTTTCTTAAAACTTAAAACTGAGCTGTGTTTTTGGGGGATTTGGATTTGAAAATTGAAAAGCTTTTCTTCAAGCTGTAGCTTAGCTTGCTGTAGCTTAGCGTTTGCTGGGTCGCGTCCGTTTCCTTCCTATTTGCGTTGCTATTTTGCAATTATTCGCGTCGCATTTTTCGCCCTTTTCTCCCTTCCCGAAATTGTTTTTTTTGGTCTGCGGGTTGCTTTTGCCTTCCCTCTTGGGGGACTTTGGTTGTTTCTTTTGATGCGCATGCTGTCTTTGTAATAGGTATTGTTGCATTTTGGTTTTGTACTAATAAACAGTAAAATTATAAACTCAACTTACTTTATGCTACCCTTCAGGTTTTAAATCCTGTTTAGATAACTGGTTTAACATTGTAGCGAGAGCTTACTAACATTTGTGTCGCCACCGACGAGTATTAATCTTGTGTTGGATGCTGCTCGTTCTTGTTATGTTGTAAGCGCTTTGGGGAAACCCTTTTTAACCTTCTTTGTGCAATTCGGCTATTCTGAAGCAAAATCATCCTCGATGATAAGGTTAAAGCGGGTCGCACCCCAAACTGCTGTAGCTTTCTTTACGTTTGCTGTATCGTTTTAGCTCTGTAATAGACAAGAAGATTTCAATTACTTCAAAGACAAAAGTTATTTACAATTTTCCTTTAGACACATCGAATTTGCTGCTCGTGAAGGAAAACTTGGTTTTCTTGATCCAGCCGGGAGACAAATGTCTTTCATTCAATACTATTGTCTTGATGTTCTAGGAATTTTGATCACTTTTTTGTTTGTTTTCCTTTTAATCGTTTTCTTGTTTTTGAGATTCGCCTTTAGATTGATTTGTTCGTTGTTTAAGGGGAAAATGAAGAATGATTGAGCGAATAAAGCATGAAAAGTTATCAAAAACTTATCAGTATCAGTCAAAAGCCTATCATAAAGGTTCTTCCGTGTACTTTGTGCTTTTAGAATGGAAAAGAATCCTTTCTAGCTTAGGCTTAGGCTTAGACTTAGCACAAATCTCATCTAAAAGTGTCTAAAAACAATTCTACGAGGATTTAAAGTCAAAAATCTGTCAAGTTTCATTTGGAGCGTCAAGAAGAATGAAAATTTTTCAGCTTGGAACGAACAAAAATGAAGAAGACTGAATATTCCTTAAAGAAAATGGTAAAAAAATCAGTAGACGAAGGATAGTGCGCTTTAAATCAAATTCTTATTTTATATTCAATGCTAATTTCACTTCTAGCTTGGCCTGGCTTGGCCTGGCTTGGGCTGGCTTGGCCTGGCTTGGCCTGGCTTGGCCTGGCTTGGCCTGGCTTGGCCTGGCTTGGCCTGGCTAGGCCTGGCTAGGCCTGGCTTCGCCTGGCTTGGCCTGGCTTGGCCTGTCTTAGCCTATTGGCTTTTTTGCCGCTGGAAAAGCTACTTTTTAGGTTTTCTGCTGTAAAAGCTTTCTAAACGTGCTTGAAAAAGTTTAAATTGGAAAACATAAGCTACAAAGAAGAGATAAGAAATTAGAACCATTCTTCAATGGAAAATTTATTGAAACCATAGATTTTAGATTGATTTTTGTACAAGAAAAACATTAAAACTAGCACTGTCAATCGATTCTCCAATCCCGAAAACGCCGGGTACAATTTTTCTGTCTTTTTGGTGGTAAATTCGAGATAAAAAAGGCACTTTGCACTTATAATTAGAGTCATTATATCGATTCTTTTAAGCTAGACCTACTTTGCGTCAAATCAAAACACTATAAGGCTATACCCAATGAAATGCTTGTCGTTTTGGTTACTTGGTTTTGGTTTTGGTTAATTTTTATTTCAAATAAGCGCGATACTATTAAAATTCTATCAAATCTCATCTAAAAGTGTGTAAAAATAATTCTACGAAGATGTAACGTCAAAAATCTGTCAAGGTTTATTTGAAAGAATGAAAACCTTTTCCAGATTAGATCCATCCTTCAATGAGAAATGCGTTGAAATCATTGTTTTTAGATTGATTTTTGTGCAAGGAAAACATTAAAACTAACACTGTCAATCAATTTCCCAACCCCGAAAGTCCCCCGAACAATTCTTCTGTCCAAAAATTTGAAGTTTTTGAACTTTAAAATGCAACAAAGATTGCCAGGTGGTTCTCTGTGCGCGACCACAATCGCACTCGATCTGGCCTACGACACCTGGGCATATACTTCCTTTTCACTACTGAAATCGGAAGCGTCCATTTTGGGTCATCCGGTAACCAATCCGTTGTCTGCCCCATGTGGTCACCGCTTCCCAAAACTAAGCTCGGCTGTAGAGCTGGTCAACCCAGTTCCGGCTCATTTTGACCATTATGGCGGGTTCTCTGTCGGTCGAAATGGGATCCCAAGTGCCTGTAAAAGGGTGCTGAAGGGGGCCGCTGTGAATTTTTGGATTCATCCCAAGGATTTCGATCCGTAGGGGCAGCAAGAAACTCATGAGACGAAAAGAGCAAGAGCCGAATTGGGCTTGACTCCTACCAACACGTCTCTCATTTGACTGATGACTCCGACTGTCACTATTGATCCATTCACCGTTGATGAGGACTTCTCTGAACGGAACCCCCATCGTCACTTCGTCAGAAATTCATGAAACCAAACGAGTAACCAAACGAGCTGAAGCATTGGAAAATACCAGAGATGATGTTGGCCTAAAATCAAAACCTAAAATAGCCGTTTGTGGTTTAAAATGGCCTAAAATAAAGCTTTTTCCAAAAACAGAAGCTCTAGAAGGCGAACGAACAAGAAGAGTTCTTTTATGTTAGTTTCCTATAACTTTAATTGGCGGTATTTTCTAACGGAAAACCCGGGCATGGCTATTGCCAGAAACACAGAAAATAGTCATTTTTGACCTTTCAACTTAAAAGTCACCAAAGCCTTCAATAATTTAATATCAATTTAATTCAAAATCGTTTTGCACTATTTTATAGAGGAGTTTCAGGCCTTTCAAACAGTATACAACACTTATTGGCTGAGGCTTGCAATGTTTTTATTTTTGGAAAGATCCGTGAGCGCTGATTTCATTCCCATGGGTGTAAGAATTACCGCAACAACTTTTTGGAAGAGTATCTGGAAAATGTCTAATTTATTTCAAAAGTGGCAAGTGTTATACAGAGAATTGTAGGCCTAATTCTCGGCAACATTTATCTACCAAAAACATCCTGATTGGACTTATACAACTCATTTAACAAGCGCTTGAATGAGCGCTAGTCGACATCTCTCCGGCGAATCTGCCATTTGGCCACTCTTCTCTATTAAAAATTGTTAAGAAAATCTTTTCAATATTTCTTTAATGCAAAAATAAGAGTTTAGTATCACTTAATAACATTAGGAATTACACTTAAATGTTTTGGCTAGACTGGCATAACCAAAATAAAGTTTAAAAGTTAAAAGTTTTTCTCACTCAAATTTGTGTTATTTTTCTCCAAAAAAACTTGTTTTCAACAAATTCATAGCGCCAGTACAGCTGATATAACGAGATACGCATATGAACCGAATATCGTACTCGATTTTCCCTGCTCCTCCAAAAGGAGCTTGACATAAAATACTCAATTTTCCCTGCTCCTCCAAAAGGAGCCTGACATCAACTTAAATTTTGGTTATGCCAGTCTAGCCAAAACATTTAAGTGTAATTCCTAATGTTATTAAGTGATACTAAACGCTTATTTTTGCATTAAAGAAATATTGAAAAGCTTTTCGAGATTAAGCTTGAGTAATGTTTTGTTTTTTTTTGGAAAAACATATTATATTAACATTTTCTTTTTCCCTTAACAGTTACAAGTTAGCAGGCTGTTTTTGTGGCCAAACCAGACCTAATCCCAGTTTCCAATCTCTCAAAAAATAGTTTTCATTATATAACTAGAGATTTATAAGGTTTACATAGAAACTCCTTGAGTAATCCTACTTCAAAACGAGCCTGATGTGTGATTTCTCGTTAAATGTCACCAAATTCTCCGGCGCTGCCGCTTTCATGGTCATCGTTTTGGTCTTTGTGCCGATAATTCTTGCCGACAATTCTTGCCGACAATTCTATCTTCTTTGGCCGGTTAAGCTTGGGAGATAGAGGATAATTTGTGATTTTCAAAGGATTAATGATGACTTTAGCCATAAGTTAATGTAAATTAGTCAAATAATCGACCAAACATAACAATGGGAAACCTCGGTTATTTTAGAAACAAAGGTACCGTCGTCGACTGAAGAACATTCTGTCAAAGAATTATTATGAGCCTCTGAAATGACTGGATTGCAGATCGCAATCCCGTTTATCACAGTTGCCACTCCGTTGTTGTTCGGTGCCCTACCCTCAGCGGTCCTCTTCGTGCAACAACGTAGGTGATTAAAAATGAACCTCAACGGAAGCGACGATGGGGGTTCCGTTCAGAGAAGTCGCCATCAACGGTGAATGGATCAATAGTGACAGTCGGAGTCATCAGTCAAATGAGAGACGTATTGGTGGGAGTCAAGGCCAATTGAGCTCTTGCTCTTTTGGTTTCATGAGTTTCTTGCTGCCCCTACGGACCGAAATCCTTGGGATGAATCCAAAAATTCACAGCGGCTCCCTTCAGCACCCTTTTACGGGCACTTGGGATCCCATTTCGACCGACAGAGAACCCGCCATAATGGTCAAAATGAGCCGGAACTGGGTTGACCAGCTCTACAGCCGAGGTTAGTTTTGGGAAGCGGTGACCACATGGGGCAGACAACGGATTGGTTACCGGATGACCCAAAATGGACGCTTCCGATTTCAGCAGTGAAAAGGAAGTATATGCCCAGGCGTCGTAGGCCAGATCGAGTGCGATTGTGGTCGCGCACAGAGAACCACCTGGCAATCTTTGTTGCATTTTAAAGTTCAAAAACTTCAAATTTTTGGACAGAAGAATTGTTCCCGGGGACTTTCGGGGTTGGGAAATTGATTGACAGTGTTAGTTTTAATGTTTTCCTTGCACAAAAATCAATGATTTCAACGCATTTCTCATTGAAGGATGGATCTAATCTGGAAAAGGTTTTCATTCTTCCTGACGTTCCAAATAAAACTTGACAGGTTTTTGACGTTAAATCTTCGTAGAATTATTTTTAGACACTTTTAGATGAGATTTGATAGAATTTTAATGTTATTGGGGTTATTTGAAATGAAAATTAGCGGAAAATGTATCCAAAACGACAAGCATTTCATTGGGTTATGGCCTTATAGTGTTTTGATTTGACGCAAAGTACGCCTAGCTTAAAAGAATCGATATAATGACTCTAATCGGAAGTGGAAAGTGCCTTTTTTACCTCGAATATACCGCAAAAAAAAGACAGTAAAGCTAGTCAGGGAATCAGGGAGAGATTTACAAGGATTAGCCATTTCATATGCATTGACATCGAGTAGTTACATTGTGGAATTGTGGAAAATATGGAAACATACATTGTGGAAATTCTCTCGCCAATGAAATTCACAAACTTTCATCTCTAAGCCAGTTTAAATCTCTCAGCTTGTTTAATTTAAAGCTTGTTTCCACTATTCCTAAGCATGAGTTTCTAAGCTTTGTGCAGTCACAGAGAGCACAGTTCTCCAAATTCTCCAAATTCGAATTTACTGCAACCCCTTGTGCAACGAATTTACTGGAAAGTGAAGAATGATCGATAGAATAAAGCCGAAAAGTTTATCAAAAATTTATCAATTTTATTTCAAACCATTTATCACTTTTATCTCTTCCATAAAATTTGTGCTTTGTGGAATGGAATCGCAATTTTGGAATGGAATTCTTTCTGACAGCAACTCTCCGGTTTCCTCAAATTTACCCAGCTTTGGTTTGGAGCAACTTTCAAAGGAATTTGCTGAAAATCAAGTATTCCAGAAAGACTGCGTTTTTACGGTGAAGTACGACTATTCGAGAGCTTGCGGAGGAGCTTGGCGTGGGCAAGACTATTCGAGAGCTTGCGGAGGAGCTTGGCGTGGGCAAGACTATTCGAGAGCTTGCGGAGGAGCTTGGCGTGGGCAAGACTATTCGAGAGCTTGCGGAGGAGCTTGGCGTGGGCAAGACGACCATTTCCGACCAATTGAAACGGATTTGAAAGTCAAAAAAAGCTCGATAAATGGGTGCCGTACGAATTGGACGAAAATCAAAAAAATCGTCGTTTTGAGGTGTCGTCTGCTCTTCTTCAGCGCAACAAAAACGACTCATTTCTCGACCGGATCGTAACGTGCGATGAAAGTGAATCCTCTACGACAACCGGTGACGTTCCGCTCAGTGGTTAGACGCCGGAGAGGCTCCACAACACTTTCCAAAGCTAAATTTGCACCAAAAGAAGGTTATGGTGACTTTTTGGTGGTCCGCAGTCGGTCACATCCATCACAGCTTTCTGAATCCGGGCGAAACGATTACGGCGAAGAAGTACTGCCAACAAATCGACGAAATGCACCAGAAATTGCGGCGAATGTGCCCGACATTGGTCAACAGAAAAGGTCCAATTCTTCGCCACGACAACGCTCGTCCGCACGTCGCACAACCGACCCTGCAAAAGCTGAACGAACTGAGCTACGAAACTTTGCCTCGGCGTCGTGGTCCGCCATAGTCGCCGGACCTTTCGCTTTAAGGCGATGCCAAAAACACCTTAGCCGACTTTATCGCCTCCAGAAGCTCGGACTTCTATGTTACCGGCATAAATAAATTTGCTTCTCGTTGGCAAAAATGTGTTAATTGTAATGGTTCTTATTTGGATTAATAAAGTTTTGTTTGAATCAAGTTATGGGATTTGAAATATTCGAGTTGAAAACGCTTATTTATTTCCGGACAACCTAATAAAAAGAGGTTTTAAAGTTAAAATGTTTCAAAATTGGGCTTAACATTTACAATTTGAGTGGGTGAATCTGGTTTGAAATATAGAAAAATCGTTTCCCCTTTATTTCGCCGAAACATCATTTTGCCATTTTGCCAATGATTGTCAATGATTGTCAATGATTTGAGTGTCCAATACAATCAATGTCAATGTTGCTCAATGGTTTAATTGAGCTATTAAAAAGTTACAATTATGTTTAAACGAACAACGAACGAATAACTGCTTGGAAGGCACAAACAATTGTCTCAGAAAGCATTTCAACAGAGATCATCCAGATCTGTGGACATTCATTAAAGAACTTAGAGGATTTCAACAGAAGATTGACAACAAGATCGTTGAATACAATCAAAACAGCATCAAGAAGACACGATTAAAAAACATGGATGCCCAAAAGACTTTGTGCGAAAGTTGGGATGAATTTGTTGATCGTCTAGAAGGCCAAAAACCCCTTAGCCGACTTTATCGCCTCCCGAAGCTCGGACTTCTATGTTATCGGCATAAATAAACTTGCTTCTCGTTGGCAAAAATGTGTTAATTGTAATGGTTCTTATTTAATTGTAATGGTTCTTATTTCGATTAATAAAGTTTTGTTTGGATTAAGTTATGGGATTTGAAATATTCGAGTTGAAAACGCTTATTTATTTCCGGCCAACCTAATAGTTTGGTTTGAAAGAAATTTGCTGTAGTATTCCAGAAAGTCTGTGTTTCTAGGGTTTAAATCGTACGGTTTTCAAAAGCTTCTCTGTATCGATTTTCAAGCTTTTTCCGAACTTCTTCCAAACTCTGTACCAAAAATAACCAAACTAATAGATTCTCAACGATGAATCTCTCATTTTGCTTGCTTTCCCCACAAAAAAAAATTGAACTCTATGCGTGTGGTCACAAACAGCACAGTTCTCCAAATTCGCGGCCACAGACAGCACAGTTCTCCAAAATTTGCATATCATCCTTTTCAAGAGCACAGAAGTATCAAAAACTTACTGATAAACATCATTTTTATCAATTTCCATCAATTTCTATCAATTTCTATCAAAGCTTTTCATCAAAAAACTCAAAATGACTGCAAAAATTGATGATATTGGTTCCGATTCGAAGAAATCTTTAGAAAAACGAGGATCCCGAAGATTTATTATATTGCTTGTGTCATTTTTCTTCTTATCCTTTATACATGCTGGGTGAGTTTTAGAATTGACTGTAAAGGTTGACTGTAAAAGATGTCAAACCTGTAAAACCAGTAAAACCTGTCAAATCTGCCAATGAGTCATTTCTTTCAGCTTTCTAAGTTACAATTGCGGTTATGTGGCGATGAGCGAGTTGATAACGAGTCCTTTGTATAATGAGGAGACTTTTTCGGTGAATCGATCAATGATTCCGGTACGGTTTTCGAGATATTGTTGTTGAAATTATTGGTGTAAACAGCTTTTAGCTTTTACAGCTTTTAGCTTTTAGCTTTTACATTGAACAGTTATAGCCACCAGAATAAGCCATTGAGAATGGCTTATTCTGTGGCTTAGCCATTGAGAATGGCTTATTCTGTGGCTTAGCCATTGAGAATGGCTTATTGAGTGACGAGAAAGTCGACAAAGTGTAAAGGGGGAGAGTTCTCCCCAAAAGCTCAGGCTCAGGTCAAAAGGTCCCCTTAGGTTTTAGCTAAAATATTCTAGGATTTTTCCGAGCAATTCATTCTTCAATTAAAAACAGTAAAACAAGGATTAAATGCGCATATTACATAGTACAGTTGACGCTCGATAGTAAAGCATTGAAGGTAAATCATTGATAGTAAATCATTGATTCTCCAAAAATGATTTACTATCAAGTGATTTACTATCAAGAGTTCTAATCATTAGGAGTTGCTTGATCAGTTCTAAAAATAACAAAAACACTGCGAAACACTGTGAATAAGCTGATAAATAACATTTTGTGGCTTTCTTCTTGGACAAAGAAGGCAGCGATAGAGTGGTAGAGCATCTGCCTGGTAAGCAAAAGGTCGAGGGTTCAATTCTGCTCGATTCCAGATTCTTTGCCATTCATTTCTTTACTTTATTATATTTACAAAGGCTTGCTTGCACTCACAACTCACATATAACAAGTCAAAATCAGTCAAAGTCAAAATCAAATCACGGATTCACAAAACAAGCATCTAAACCAGTATTCAACCATGATTTCAGTGGAACGCTGATCATTTATCATTATCGGATCGTCGTTTCGATTTTACTCCGGAAGAAAAAGGATGGTCGTTTGCAGGTTTAAGCTAATTATTTACAGGATTTGTGCTTAATTCTCATTCTCATTCTCTTCTTATCCACTCTCTCATCCTCTTCTTTCTTTCCCTCCACTTATTCTCATTCTTATCTCATCTTATCTCATTCTCCCTCTTATTCCATTCCCCTCATCTCATTCCACTATCTTTCTTCTTATTCTTATTCTCACTCTCATTCTTATTCTCATTCTTATTCTCATTCTCATTCTCATTCTCATTCTCACTCTCATTCTCATTCTCATTCTCATTCTCATTCTCACTCTCATTCTCATTCTCATTCTCATTCTCATTCTCATTCTTATTCTCATTCTCATTCTCATTCTCATTCTCATATCTCCTTTAGAAAGAAAATGAACCAAATTTGTGGAGATTAGGAACCAAATTTAGAGAGATAAGGAACCAAGTTTGTAGAAATAAGGAAGCAAATTTAGCGAGATAAGGAACCAAATTTAAAGAGATCAGCAAGCAAATCAATTTGTTTCTGGTACATTAAAGCGATCAAAGTTTTCAGAAAACAAAATCGGAGAATTGAAGTCAAAAGGCTTCACTTTAACCTCAAAATACACATATTAAAATATCAAAATCAATATCACAATCAAAATTCAGCTTTTTAACTCATTTGAGCTTTAAATTTTCAGCCGGTTTCGCCGGAGCCATGTTCGGAGTGCCGATTCTCGGTTTGATGACCGCAAAATGGGGAATGCACCGAATGATGTCTGGAATGGGAGCGATGATCGCTGTCACTTGCTTTCTTTTGCCCTATCTTGTGTCAATCTCTTTTCCCTTGTTCTTGTTCTTGAGATTTCTATCAGTAAGTTTTCAAAGTCAAACGGCAATGATAAAAGTTCTTTCGATTAGGGCACAGCTTTGGCAATTCTCTTTGCAGCGGCTGGTCATGTCGTTTCCTATTGGGCACCGTTGAATGAACGCGGGCTTTGGATTGCTGTGCTTTCAGGTGGATTATAAGAGAGTTGAAAGAATTTATTCCGGTTAGATTGGACATTTATTCCGGTTAGATTGGACAAGGCTGGAGGTCAAAGTAAATAAAGTTAAAGGTTAAAGTCAAAGCGGTCAAAAGTCAAAGTCAAATGAATACAAGAAAGCGGAATTAATTGATTCTATGCTTTTATAAGGGATGAAAAGAAGAAATCAGCTTTTCAGGTTAGTTTTAAGCTTTAGTATTCAGTTTGGAGCTAGTTTGGAGCTAGTTTTGGATGTGAAATTTGTGAAAGATGAAAAGATTTGAGCTTTGTTTGGGAGTGGGACGATTGCGACCTTTTTTTTGCACACCCGAACATTTGCGCACCTTTTTTTCCGCACCTTGCCCATTAGCGCACCTTTTTTCGCGTTTTAAAAAAGCCCTAAAGGCTAATATTAACCAATTTCTATTCCAAAAGTTGTTTTTCTAGGTAATTTTAGGGCGTAGAATCGAAATTTTGACATATCAGAGCTTGTGGAAACAAACGGACGGAGTTATACAAAGAGAAAAATCAACAATTTTGTAATTTGACCATTTCTGTAATTTGATCTAGCCGTTTTGTCTTTCAAATTGGTTCCACAAGCTCTGTTATGTCAAAATTTGAATTCGAAACCCTCAAATTACCTAGAAAAACAACATTTGGAATAGAAATTGGTTAATATTAGCTTTTAGAGCTTTTTTAAAACGCGAAAAAAGGTGCGCTAATGGGCAAGGTGCGCGGAAAAAAAGGTGCGCAAATGTCCGGGTGCGCAAAAAAAAGGTAGCATTTGTCCCACTCCCGCTTTGTTTTCAAAAATACCAAAAATACCACCAATCGAGTTTTTTGAGAGCTTTTTACGTAAAAACTTATTTTAAACTTATTTAACTTCACTCCTAAAAGCTTATTTTTAACATTTAACTTTAGATTTAGCGTTTGTTGATTTATGCTTACTTCTTGAAGTGAAAATTGTTTATCTCAATTGTTCTTCTTCCTCAATATCTTCAATTGTTTATCTCTAAACTGATTTCCTCCATAAACGCTTGAATTTCTCGACTTAGATCCTTTTTTAGGGGATTTAGGAACAGCACCATAATAGAAAACCTTCAAAACAACGCCGTCAAATTTCTAACAATCCAAAAAACCAAGCCGTTTTCTAAATTTTATACCAAAAAATTCCTTGCTTTCTTGGCTAAATAATGGGTAACACAGTTTTTAAAAGAAGTTAATATTTAATAGATAAAAAGAACGGTTAAAATGAGTCTCTAAAGACATTCAGTTAATCAAATGAGTTATCCGAGCAAGAATTCGGATCATTCCTCTAAACAACAAGAAGTCTTATCCAAGCAGGAATCCAGATCCTTTCTTTAAACCACAAGAAGCCTTATCCAAGCACGAATCCGGATCATTCCTTTAAACCACAAGAAGCCTTATCCAAGCACTAATTCGGTCCTTTCTTTAAACCACAAGAAGCCTTATCCAAGCAAGAATTCGGATCCTTTCTTTAAACCACAAGAAGCCTTATCCAAGCAAGAATTCGGATCCTTTCTTTAAACCACAAGAAGTCTTATCCAAGCAAGAATTCGGATCCTTTAGGATAATCGGATCATTCCTTTAAACAACAAGAAGCCTGATCCAAGCACAAATCCGGATCATTCCTCTAAACCACAAATCTTATCCAAGCACAAAGTGTTCTCCAATAATTGATCCATTCTTTAGGCCACGTCGAGTTTTCTCCATTCTTCTCAATGCCCCATGCTGGCTTGGTTGGATCAGAGAGTGAGTCAAAACTTTTGACTTCTTGTATCAAAAAGTTCTTATCTTAACATTAGTGCTTTTATTAAGACTTTTAGTCTTTTTCGTACAAACTTTCGGTCAAACAAGCACAATTTACCCGTTATTTGTACTTTTACTTCAACCCAACGGGTCTAAATCTAAAATCCGTCTGTGGGTCTGTCTGTCTGCCCGTTCGTCTATCTGTCTGCCTGCCTGCCTACCTGTCTGTCTGTCCATCTGTCTGTCTGTTTGTCTGCCTACCTGTCTGTCTGTCCATCTGTCTGTCTGTGTGTCCGTCTGTCCATCTGTCTGTTCTGGGTTTCTTTTGAACAAAGTGCTCAAACCGTCACATATGATAATAGCCGGCTTTTCAATTCACCAACCCAATAAATCTTTAGCACACTTCTTTCAAATGTTTTTAGTATCTTGGCCAGCGATTTATTATTCTCATGGAGTGATTGCTTTGCTTGTGACCATTTTATGGATTTTTGTTCATAAGTAAGAAAAAAAAGGGAGATCAATGAGGGAAGATATTCAGAGATGATCCCCGGGATGTGAAATGGCTGAAGAAAGAAGAGCTTGATCGAGTGATGCAGGGGAAATTCGAGTTGTTGAATGCGAAACGAGAGAAACAGGTGAAACTGGTGAAGCCTTTCGTTCAATTTTTTGATAATTCAAGATTTGATTGAGTAATTTGCATATAAAATTCTATAAGAATGTAAAAGATTATTTTAGAAGCCGGTTTCTTTCCTGAAACTCATCAAAACGCCGGTGGTCGTCGGGATCTGGGTGGCTTGTATTGGATACTATTTTGGAGTTCAATTCTCAATCACTTTTTCCCTTCTTTACTATTCATCGGCTTTACACTATTCACCGATTGTTTGTGGATTTGTGACAATGATTCCATTGTTGATCTTGGTGAGTTTCATTTAGCTAGGTTTTTGTAAGTTTTTGAGATAGGTTTTTGTAAAATTTGGATTCGAAAAGCTCAATCTATAGCCTGGAATAGAAAGCTTTCGAGTAAGTCAGTAAGTAGGTCAGTAAGTAAGTCAGTAAGTAAATAAGTCAGTCGGTAAGTCAGTCAGTAATTAAGTAAGTCAGTAAATAAGTAAGTCAGTAAGTAAACCAGTCAGTAAGTAAGCCAGTCAGGAAGTAGGTCAGTCAGTAAGTAAGTCAGTAAGTAAGTCAGTCAGTCAGTAAGTAAGTCAGTAAGTAAGTCAGTCAGTCAGTAAGTAAGTCAGTCAGTAAGCAAGTAAGTAAGCAAGTAAGTAAGCAAGTCAGTAAGTAAGTCAGTAAGTAAGGAAGTTAGTCAGTCAGTAAGTCAGTAAGTAAGTCAGTAAGTAAGTCAGTTCATCAGTAAGTCAGTAAGTAAGGACGTAAGTCAGTAAGTCAGTGAGTAAGTCAATAAGTAAGTAATTAAGTAAGCAAGCAAGTAGGCAAGTCAGTAATTAAGTAAGTCAGTCAGTAAGTCAGTCAGTAAGTCAGTCAGTAAGTCAGTCAGTAAGTAAGCCAGTCAGTAAGTAAGGCAGTAAGCCAGTGGGTAAGTCAGTCAGTCAGTAAGTAAGTCAGTAAGTAAGACAGTAATAATTTTCCTAGAAGATGGACAATTTAGAAAGCTACAGTAAGCTTCAAGCATAGCCTCCCACCAAGTTCCCTAGATTTTATTGGCTTGATTTGACCCAGAAATTTCATTCTTTTGCCAATCTTGCTTTTGAACAATGGCTACAAAGCAGATATCAGAACGAAAATTCAGAATTGCACAACTGAGATAGCTTTGGTCCTTCTGAAATTCTCAAAGAACCTTTGAGCCTGAAATTCCAGCTTTTCCTCAAACTCGTAACTGGTCACATCTCCGATCGTCTCACATCAATCCGAGAAGTGACAAGAATGAGAATCTTCAATTCAATCGCTCTCATTGGATCGGCTTTCTTCTTCTTAATTGCCTCATTCCGACAACCAGATGGCTCATGGATGGATGTGGCTGTTGTCGGTAGACGAGTGCTGAAATAATAGATTGTGTATCTAAAGTTTAGTAATGCCAGTTTGTATTCTCGGATGTCACAGCGGAGGCTATCCAAAATGTGCTGTTATTGTTGCGAGAAAACATTCAGCGGCGGTGTTCTCATATATGCAGGTAAGACAGGTCTTTGACAAGAGTTTATTGAGCTCCAAGTACTCCAAGTTATCTTTGAGTTACTCCAGGGTAATTGTTGAGTAATCAAAACAGAAATGGAACCACTTCGGCTTAAGACTAGAAGGTTTTTTAAAGCCATCATTAACCATTAAAACAATCAAGCTTTGTCGATTTCTAGCTCTAGTACTTCTAGCTCTAGTACTTCTAGCTCTCGTACTTCTAGCTCTAGAACTTCTAGCTCTAGAACTTCTAGCTCTAGTACTTCTAGCTCTAGTACTTCTAGCTCTAGAACTTCTAGCTCTAGAACTTCTAGCTCTAGTACTTCTAGATCTCGTACTTCTAGCTCTAGAACTTCTAGCTCTAGAACTTCTAGCTCTAGAACTTCTAGCTCTAGAACTTCTAGCTCTAGTACTTCTAGCTCTCGTACTTCTAGCTCTAGAACTTCTAGCTCTAGAACTTCTAGCTCTAGTACTTCTAGCTCTAGTACTTCTAGCTCTCGTACTTCTAGCTCTAGTACTTCTAGCTCTAATACTTCTAGCTCTAGTCCTTCTAGCTGTAGTACTTCTATCTCTAGTACTTCTAGCTCTAGTACTTCTAGCTCTAGTACTTCTAGCTCTAGTACTAGCTCTAGTGCTTCTAGCTCTAGTACTTCTAGTCCAAGTTATCTTTGAATTACTTCAGGGTAATTGTTGAGTAATCAAAACAGAAATGGAACCACTTCGGCTTAAGACTAGAAGGTTTTTTAAAGCCATCATTAACCATTAAAACAATCAAGCTTTGTCGATTTCTAGCTCTAGTACTTCTAGCTCTAGTACTTCTAGCTCTAGTACTTCTAGCTCTCGTACTTCTAGCTCTAGTACTTCTAGCTCTAATACTTCTAGCTCTAGTCCTTCTAGCTGTAGTACTTCTATCTCTAGTACTTCTAGCTCTAGTACTTCTAGCTCTAGTACTTCTAGCTCTAGTACTAGCTCTAGTGCTTCTAGCTCTAGTACTTCTAGTCCAAGTTATCTTTGAATTACTTCAGGGTAATTGTTGAGTAATCAAAACAGAAATGGAACCACTTCGGCTTAAGATTAGAATGTTTTTTAAAGCCATCATTAACCATTAAAACCATTAAAAATCATTAAAACAATCAAGCTTTGTCGATTTCCTCAAAATTTTAGCTCTTCGGTTGTGGCTCATTGGTAGCCGGTGCTTTCATGGTTCCAATGTTGACACCAAGTGGTGAGCATGCAGAATGGGGAATCGTTTTCCGAGCATACGCTGTGGTGATGCTCGTCTGCAACTTGGTCTTTTGCTATACAGCAACAGGTGAGATGCTTAGAGGGGTAAATTGTATTAATAGACGAACAGACAGACAAACGTCTTCTTCCCTTTATATGTAGTAGATATATCAGCTTATATATCAGATTATTCTATATATATATCTGTCGTAGCCGATTATGAATGAGCGGGTCCGGACGCGTCCACCCATCAAGTATTTGGTATCATTCAACGCAGAATCATTAATAATTATGTTAAATTTTTAAAATTAGAAAGATTGGATAAAAAGAAAAAGAATTAGAGCAAAAAAACTGTTTGTTCAAGAGAAAACTTTGAGGCCCCATAATTTCTTTTCTTTTTATCCAATCTTTTCAATTTTAAAAATTTAACATAATTATTAATGATTCTGCGTTGAATGATACCAAATACTTGATGGTTGGACGCTGCTAGACCCACTCATTCATAATCGGCTACGGGGATCCCGCCGATTTTGAATGAAACGTTGTAGCGCCGGTAATTTTTAACCTAAACTCACAAATTTGGTACCAATCGACGCAGAATTGAATTCGCTACAGGATGATATATTAGGTTGATGCAAAAGTCTTTTTCATTTTTTTCGTACTTCCGTTAAAAAGTAACAAATGCACCAATTGAACAACGGTTTATTGCATTCGAAAGGCCAATTATTTTTCTGCAAAATGACATTAAAACGAGTTTAAAATGTCTTATGTCTAGATTTTTTTGAGAGCCTGAAGTCGGGTAGTCAAAAAAGGCGACGGCTCGATGATGCATTTTAGACGCTTTAGCTAAGGAAACCAATCTTGATGTTAATAAATAAAAGATAGAGCACAAAAAGTTAGATATTTTTTCAGATTTTCAGAGAAATTGATTCAGCCAATTTCTTTATAGAGGTTTTTATAGATTTTTATGAAAAACCCGTTTTCACTCTCGAATTTGCTTGAAAGTGAACCCAAATTGACTTAAAAAGATGGGAAATTCAACAATAAACACTTTTCATTTAGAGCAAACCATAGGTTAATTGATGACTTTGTTATTTTTCAAAAGAAGTACGAAAAAAATGAAAAAGACTTTTGCATCAACCTAATAATATTGTCCTCATGCATTAAAGGGTTCCTCTACTAGAAAGATTTACCAAAAAATTTCATTCATAATCGGCCAGACATATAAACTTTTATTATTGTTCTTGGAGCGCGGGATACTACAGGGTGACAGCCTATCACCATTGCTATTTGTTATGTGCATGGATACATCCAGACGATAGTGTTGAAGAAGACGCTGGAAAGCTGTGGAAGATAGATACCTATAATTTGGAAGATAGATACCTATAATTTGAATTTTGGATCAAAATCTATCGAAATTCTGATCCAATCTTTTCCAAATTTTCAGATAAACCTTGCGAATGGGCTTTGGAGAAAGAAACAACAGAAGTTGAGATTTCAACTTCAGAAAATCAAACTCACAAAGTTTAAAAAACCAAATCTCAATAAAATCTCTAACTTTTCCTCTCAACACTTGCAAAAAACGCGGAAAAAAGCGAAAGAGTGAACGATTTTCTCATACTTTTTATCGGGATTCTTTCTTTTTTAAGTGAAAGAACTAAAATTCTCTAGAATCTCTCAAATTTTCCTTCTCTTTTCCTCTCTTTTCTTCTTTTTTGGGTCCCCACGTGCCTTTTTCTCGAAAAGAAATCCAAAGTTTTTTGAAAAAACCGACAAAATTGACAACAAATCTTTTTAAAGTTCTATTTTCTATGGTTTATTTATTAATTTTGTTTATTTTATTATTATTTGATTCTTTATTTATATTCTTTATTTATATTCTTGTTTAAATCTTTAACAAGTTGATCACCTTTTGGTTTGAGCTCTCTCAAAGCTTTGAGCTTCGAGCTTTCTCAAAGCTTCGAGCTTTCTAAAAGCTTTGAGCTTCGAGCTTTGAGCTTCGAGCTTTCTCAAAGCTTCGAGCTTTCTAAAAGCTTTGAGCTTCGAGCTTCGAGCTTCGAGCTTTCTCAAAGCTTCGAGCTTTCTAAAAGCTTTGAGCTTCGAGCTTTCTAAAAGCTTTGAGCTTCGAGCTTTCTAAAAGCTTTGAGCTTCGAGCTTTCTCAAAGCTTCGAGCTTTCTAAAAGCTTTGAGCTTCGAGCTTTCTAAAAGCTTTGAGCTTCGAGCTTTCTAAAAGCTTTGAGCTTCGAGCTTTGAGCTTCGAGCTTTCTCAAAGCTTCGAGCTTTCTAAAAGCTTTGAGCTTCGAGCTTCGAGCTTCGAGCTTTCTCAAAGCTTCGAGCTTTCTAAAAGCTTTGAGCTTCGAGCTTTCTAAAAGCTTTGAGCTTCGAGCTTTCTCAAAGCTTTGAGCTTTCTTAAAGCTTTGAGCTTCGAGCTTTCTTTCATCAATAAAGCTTTCTTTTGTTTGCTTTGCTTTCAATTTTTCAAATCCTATTTGATTACGACAATTTTCCGAGTAATTCTAAAGTTTACCCATACTTACTTGACTTTCATTGACTATTTTATTTCCATTTCATTTCTATTCCATTTCTATTCCATTTCTATTCCATTTCTTATCCATTTCTATTCCATTTCTTATCCATTTCTATTCCATTTCTTATCCATTTCTCATGATTTCCATGGAATTGAATAAACCAATAAGTTCTATTTTGTCTCTTTTTAATGCCTAAAGTTTTCTCTATAAAACTCTATTTCTATTCCATTTCCATTCCATTTCCATTC